CTTATTGAAAGATCTTTGCTCTGTGAAGAGAAAAAAAAATTGTTTGACCTGACTTTCAAGGAAAATATAGAGAAAGAAGACATGTATGAAGAATGTAAAGAAATTTGTATAATTAATATATTTAGAAGAGAAAAATATTGCATATATTTAAAATGTACAAGACAACTTATTTTTCTATTTTGTAATTGCACCATCTCAAAACAGCAATCTTTGACTTTGATTTAGACTATAGGGACAAATATGAAGTCAAATTAATTTTGGTTTGGGAACTATTCATTTGAATGAAATGGACTGTGAGCACCTACTGTGGTATATGAAGATCTTCTGCTTTTGAAAACAGTGATCATTACTTCTAAAATAAAGAAACAGAGTAATTGTTTTCTATTATAAGTAAACATTACTATATTAAAATACATCATGTTTCAACATTGAAATGAATAATGTGACTGTGACTTCTAAATAATTTGTGGTTTCCCTGTTTTCATATATTTATTTATTCTTAATTAAAAATATGTACACATGTAAGCTCAATATGTTTTAATGGTCTTCCATCTCAGCTCATGGTCATGTACTAGTAAGACCCACCTAGTACTCATTAGAAAGGCAGATTCTCAGACCGTATCCTGATTTTCAGAGTCATTATTCAGTTGAATGGGGCTCATTTGTATATGTATTCAATATGAGCAGCATGAGTTGAGTTGAATACCATTACCAGTGTGAAACTTGTAAAAATCAAACTATTGGTGGATCTGAATGGGATTTAACATTCTTTAGATTTAAAATGATGCTTACTTTATTTTTGTGTAGTATTAGCAGCTAATATTTATTATACATTTAAAATTTATTACCTAAAGAGTACCTGTTACCTGGTAGCAAAATAAAAAAAATTCTTGAAAGATGCTTTATAATACTATTACTGTCAACCCATTGTATCTCTACCATTTTTCATAGTAGAGATTTCAAGATTCATTTCTGTTTTCCTAAGTTACTCATAATTGTGCTTGAAATGCTAACAAATGTTCATTCATGGATAGTGTGATTAGTGAATCTAAATATTAATGTGTTTAGTTTATGTTAAAGAAGAATCATTGTTAAGTCAAATCTTACTACTTTTTCTGTTTCATTTTTTTGTTTGTTTCCTTATTTTTATTTATTCCATGTTTTCTTTTTTGTTTTAGTTGGGTCTGGTAAGTTGACATTTTATTGGCCATCTCCTAATCATCGTGTCACTGTGACTGGAACTTCTCTTCCCCTTTCCATCCATACCCTTCCATGTCCTTCAACCAATCAGCCTCCATGTTTCACTTGTCATTGGCCACAAAGACAGACTGCACAGAATAAACCTGCAGGAAGTATGGGTAACTGTGACAATGAGTAAAGGTAATGGGTTTGCTAACTTTCTGTCTTATTAAGTCATGTGTGATCTGAGCCCTTTAATTGTTTCCTTCCTGAAATAAGGGATAAGTCATAGAATTATATCTTGGTTAACTAAAGGACAGTTTCACTTTATACCTCTAAATCATTAAATGAACAGAAACACATGCCACAAAGAAATTTGGTTTTCTTTGCATTAAGTACGTTATTTTGTAATTATAATTCATTCGTCCTTAAAGTTCAGTCCCTGAGTTACCGTGTGCTCGGAGCTCCTTAGTGCTCATTTCCATTTCTATTTGTATGAAGTTTGTTTCATTACATATACCAATTAACAACATAAAATATCTAAAATTTGCTTTTATAATTTGTTTTTCTATAAAGAACCATCAAAGTTCTTTGTAGTTAACTTAGAAGAAGATCAGTTCATTCAGTAGGGTTAACAGAATGCCGTGTTGAGAGAAATTGCCATGTGAAAAGACAGGCCAAAGCATCATTTTCACTTTAAAGAAATCTCTTTCATAGTTGTTTAAGGCAACACAGATATTATTATTTCATATTCACACAGAAAGGATGGGCTATTCAATCATAGAGTATGTTAGACATCGGCCCTCTGAAGCATTATTCACAACTGAGAATCAAAATTTAAAACAATGGAAATTGATTATTTATTATAGTACATCCGCTATTCAATAATTATTAAAATGGTGTTTCAGTAGGATATCTTTAGAGTAGTATCTAGTTTGCATGGTAGAATTATTGGCAGTTTTTCTTTTTCCTCTTTGTCCAATTTTTAACATTTACAGCACCTACTTTATTACTATACCGGTTATATCATTATATACTTTGAACACAGCTAACGTAAACATTTTAGATTTCAAAAGCCATAATAATATAAAGTCATAAAACCTCAACTCTGTGTATTTGGTGAGTCTTTTCAGTCTAAATAAATATATATTAATAGAAATTTCTTTGTTTCTTTTTTCCCTTATAAATTATAACTATATCTGATATCTGACATACATAAGAAAAGGGTTTCTTTTTTTCCTGTGTTTGTTTTTTAAAGCATGGTTCTAACTAGCTTCAATCTCTTAGGCTCAAGCAATGCTCTTCCTAGGCCTTCTGTTTAGCTGGGACTGTAGGCTTGTGCCATCACGCTAGTCTGGGGAGGATTTTTTAAAGTTTATTTCTAAGAAATCTCTTGCGGCTGATGTCACTGTTGATGTTGGCTTGAGACTATGCCTACAGAATATAGCAAATCATTTCCAAGCAAATATCCTGTGTGAAAGGATTGCTTCAGGATAAATGTCGTTAGCATAAGGGTTTGTATTCCTTTTTCCCAAATAAGTCTTTGAGGTTTGAGGAGAGCTGGCATTTTATAAAAGAAACAGTTTCTGGCACACAGTCCTACACGAGCTCCTGAGATTTGGGATGGAGACCACCCCAAGGCTCCGTTTGACTAAGTGGTTTGAACATTTATATTTTCCTACTTGGATTCCCTTCGAATTGGAAAGTCATCTGCTCCCACACATCTAATTAATCATTTGGTTTTCCTGCATTGAGGAAAACCAAACTCTAGTCTGGATTTCATTTATTATGCAGTCATCTTTAAGTTTCTACATCTGATTCTACATCAGTTATTCTAACCTTACCTAAGGAGGAGAGAGCTCCTGTTTGGCTTGGTACAGGAGGGGACATCCCCAGGCAACCAGGCACATGCCTATTATTATACCTGGGTAATGACAGTGTTAGCTAAATTCATGAGCAAACCACTCGATTACAATCACAGGTTTTCTACAAAAAAATTATAAGCTAGAATATCAGTTTGACCAAATTGAACTCCAACTGTGTCTCCCAGCTTTGTATTTTATCTTCTATAAGTTAGAGAACATTTGAAAACATTTGACCTGATTTTTCAGGTATCCTATAATTTAACAGTCAACTGTTAGATTTTTCTACTAAACTTCAATTTAAAAAAAAAAAAGAGGTGTAAAAGAAAGTACATTCATCTTCAATTTTTGTTAAGAACAAATCACATTTTATTTTTTAAGAAGTATTATATTGATATATTTGTGATTATATGTTCATTATAATTCATATATTAAATAGGTTTCTTTATATTAAATATGCTTTATGATGTACTTTTGTAATGTCACATATACAACATTTTTATATATTATATGTATTGTGTACATTGGTATATCAGATACTATTGACTTGAAAATATAAATAAAAGGAAAAGTGCCTTTTCAAAATTTTTTTTTCAAGAAAAAGAACCAGTTTTCTTGGTTCATAGATAGATGGATAGATAGATAGATAGATAGATAGATAGATAAAAGAAAACAGTGTCATAAACATAGAATGGGTTTTCACTGGGAAGACGAGGGAGGTCACCAAGAGCAGAAAGGGGATAACAGAGAGTAATGGAAAGAGACATGATCAAACACATCATATAAATGTATGAAAGTGTTGGAACAAACCCCATTATTATCTCTAATTCATGTATACTAGCCAGAGAGCTTTTAAAAAGAAACCTCCCTCTTATAAGCAGTATGGTGACATTCCTGGATCTAATCTGAATGTAAGTTTCGGTTCTGATTTGCTGTGGGGAGTGTCCTTAAGTGACTGATGCAAGCAACTGAAAATACTTTGACGGGAACAATGGGCAAGCAGGGGACAGGCCTTGAAAAGAGGGCTGGAAGAGTCGTGCCCTGGATAAGCTGTCAGAAGTCTGGCTTGGACTGGGACAAGAGGGAACAATTAGCTTTTTCAGACAACTGATAAGAAGTGGACTTGGAAAGTGTACACATTAGGTGAAAGGACTTACTCAGTACACATTGAGGTTTTTTTTTTTTTTCTGTGCAAAGCCCAGCCCTAGAGCAGACTCCTGATTCCCCACCCCCGTGCGTGCTCTATCCGCTCACCTACCTTTCAGCTGCCATTGCCCTCAATGTAACTGACGCAGTTTTCTGACATTCTATTGACTGCTGGATGAAGTGGCCATTCAAGTCGGTATAAATCAAACAGTTTGGACAAAGCTGGCAGTATTTATAATGTCAGGATGAGCAGATGTTTCGAATTCGCCCTCATTTCCATATATATTCTGTTTGAACATGCCCTTGCCCATGTAAATGAAGGAGGCATGTGACTCCACTATTGCTGAAAATCCACTTCTAGTCAAATAATTGGACTGAAGATTTTAAATGGCTCTAATTTGCATGGTAGCATTTCAGGAGCTTTTGAGGTAAATGAAAGTGATTTCAGCCCCTGCCTGTATCAGGAGATCTTGTGTGTATGTGATTAGAGTTCATTCACCTTGAAGCAACCCTAAGTGAGAAAGGATAATATTTATTCATACCATTTTCAGGTACAATTTGAATGGAAAGGGTCAGCTTGTAGCTCAAGAATTCTTTGAAATGTGAGGATTAATTCCAGGTCTAGGTTAAGTAATAAATCTCTTCACAATACAACTCTATTTCATTCTATAAATATGCACTTAGCAACTCTCCTTTAAATGAAGGGTGGGAAATGGTCGGCTATGATGATGTGCTATAGAAAATAAAGGCAGCGCTAGAGACACCAGGAGGCTGTGCTAACATGATCTGATTCAGGATATTTTGTTTCTTCAGAACCTCCACATTTTGTGGTGAAGCCTCGCGACCAGGTTGTTGCCTTGGGACGAACTGTGACTTTCCAGTGTGAAGCAACTGGAAATCCTCAGCCAGCTATATTTTGGAGAAGAGAGGGGAGTCAGGTATAACTATTTTCTAACTACCTTTTTTTTAAAAAAAGAAAATACAGGTACTGGGATATCTGAGAAGAAAAATCCAGTGATCATGATGTTATATAACAATCACATTAGCAGGAAATGAAGAAGTCAAAAGCCCCAGAAACGTTTAGAATTAAAGGGGAAGAGAAAAGTGTTCCCACCTGAATTCTCAAAGCCATTTTCCATGCCTTCTTTTGGCTCACCGGGTGGTGTGCATATGCCACTGTTTTGCCGAATAAATATTCTTTTTACATTAAAAGTGTCCACATTAAATAAAGTGGTCTGTTCCACTTGCCGTTTCCATTATGTAGCTAGAATCACACACTAATAGATTCAGGTATATTTGAAATGAAACAGAGGTGATGACTTTTCTGCATGAGTTCTCCAGAAGATCAGGAACTTACAGAACTTCTGAAACTCCAAATTATGTAAAGTTCTCTCTAGCTTCAATACTATATCCCAGAGTTCAATACTGTCTAGTCTTTAAAACAGCCATGTGTTTAAAATCTCTTCCTATCTAATCTCTATGATTTTTCTTCTTAAATGAGTTGAAATATTTTACTTGTGAAGAATCAGTTTCATTCATTTTCAGTGTGGTCATTCCTTGGCCTATCTTGTTCTTGCTTGACTCGGTTTTGGGGATTTCATTGGTACTGCCTCTAGGGGTTTTTATAAGGACCAAGCACATACCTTACTGACTGAACTCCACAGTCTTTTATGGGCAGTACTACCACCTTCATATTTTTATTCTACTCTGGCTGACTTTTTGCCTTTGTGATTTTTTTTTAAGATTTATTAATTTTATTACATATATAATGTTCTGCCTGCATGTGCACCTGAACACCAGAAGAGGGCACCAGATTTCATTATAGATGGTTGTGGGCCACCATGTGGTTGCTGGGAATTGAACTCAGGACCTCTGGAAGAGCAAGCAGTGCTCTTAACCTCTGAGCCATCTCTCCAGCCCCTTCTACTCTGGCTGACAAACATTAATTTGATTATAGCATGAAAGCTATCATTTGAATTCTAATATCTCAGTGGTCTCTAACATATTCCATTTGGTCATACATGATTAACCTTGCTGAGAACAAGTTCAAGACAAAAATTCATAGAGCAAGAAGAATTGGGATTGGGTTATGGAAGAAAACTTTTATAGCAAAAAATTATAATCCACTAGATGTTCTTTTTAGCAGTGTGATACTTCTACTGAATTAATTTCCAAAGTTTTTATTTACTTTGGTTTAACAGTGCAAATTGTGTTGCATTAAAAAGGTCATTAAAACTTGATCCATAGAGTATTAGCTAACCCTTTACAAAGGGAGTTTTACTGAATAGCACAGAAACTTTAAAAACACAGCAATTTCCTCCGCTAGGAAAAGGTCAGTATACGTTGGGTCATGAAAAACAACACCATGAAATGCAAACTTCTAAGAATTTGCATCTTTTCATTTAATTCTGCATGAACTTCAAAAACTCTGTAACATGCATTTTCATCCTCCAACAGAAAAACAAGCTATGCCTCTAATAAGTGATTGATAAATGTTCCAGAAAAATAGTGATTGACAGCTGGAAGAAATGCTTGTTATGGGGCCAAATTGGCATCCTTGAATATAGTTTATCAGAATGAATTTAAGTTTTCGATTTGTTTATGTATTAGAGATCTTGGATTAATAGCACTATTAGCCATTCGTGTGTAATGTAAGATTTTTTTTTGCAGTTTGAATAAACATATTTTAGTCTATCAATATTTAGTCTTCTTATACGTTCAATATTTTATCTCCAAGTGACAGTTATAAAAATGCATGTGATTATTGATAATTTTAACATTTTTCATATAACTCCATTTGACTTTGTATTATTAAACTCTTTATGTTTAATAATATGTATTTATACATGTGCACATTAATATATATGGGTTTGTGATGGAAGAATATTTTGCTCATATATATGTGTATATGTATACATATACTTACAAATGTACACGTAACTGTGCCACAATATTAGAACCTAGCTGTTAACCTGTTTCTATTCTTTCCCCCCAAATTCTGGTTTTAGAATCTGCTTTTCTCATACCAGCCACCACAGTCATCCAGCCGGTTTTCAGTGTCCCAGACTGGGGACCTCACTATTACTAACGTGCAGCGGTCTGATGTTGGTTACTATATCTGTCAGACTTTAAATGTTGCTGGAAGTATCATCACAAAGGCATATTTGGAAGTTACTGATGGTAAAGTAAAACATTTTCTTTCACAATATCCAAATTGTCTTAGGGTCTGAGCCTGTGGATGTTTCATGTCAAGCTTCGCATTTTTGCTTGCAGTTATTTTAGTGAAAACTCAAGAGGGTGTTGGTACCATACAACTCTGTTGTTGTTCTTACTTTAAAACGTACTATATATTTCTATCATCTGGTCAGATCCCTAAATACACAGCACTTCTCCACGAATAAGTTCATTCTGAAGAGCTAAGCATAGAAAAGCTTTAAAAGTTTAGAAACATGGAAAAGGAGGCAAAGTCAGTTTATAGTCTATGACTGGAAATCTCCATTCCTACTATTTTCTCTAAATTAAGAATAAGACTCGGTCATGAATTCAAAAGCTGACAAATAACATGATAAATTTTCTCTACAGTCGTGATTCACTCTATTTATCAGTTCCTTAGACACAGTCAGCTGTTGCCAAATATATTATAAAGACACTGTAATTGAGAAAAATTTCCAACCTACAAAATACAAGTAGTGATCTTTTGGAAAGATGGAAGAAGATATAAATTTCCTGTAAATACATATTTATACATGTGCACATATATGTACATTTGTGATATAAGACTTTAAGCTTATTAAATATATATTTATTTCATTAAATAAAATGTCTATAAACATATAAAACAGGTATGTATAGATATATGTGCAGGTATTTATCTGACATGCTAAAATACCTATACATATATCGAATAAATATATTTTAGATATCCAAAAATATATTTACATGTATATAATATGTGTGTAATATACATAATATATGCAGTATCTTTCTGTGTATGTGTGAGTGTGTATGTATGTATAATCAAGAAAGCATTACTGCAAAAGGCTTTGAAATAACAATGGCATGGGCATGCTTGTTTTCCATACTGAACTTTTTTCAAGAAGTAGAATTATTTTACATCTTTAATTCCGAGCAGTAGACAAGAGGTCTTAAAGGCAAGCAGTTACTTCATTGTCTTTCAAGGAGAGTTATGGGACCAGAATAAAGAAAGAAGGCCATAAATAAAAGATGCCTGCTATTGCTTCTCTCTAGTTGAATATGGTGTTTGTGTATCTTTTATGTTCCTGTGTATGGATGTGTGTGATGCAGGTGAAGGCCATAGGACACCCTCAGGGTTTGTTATTCAAGTTCCTTCTGCTTGTTACTGAGACGAACTTCTTACAGACCAGGAACTGACCAAATTGACTAGAAAGTCTTAAAGACTGATCTAAATCTCCAGCTTTGAATTTCTTATTTTAGTTTTGCTAAACTGGTAAAAACATAAAAATCCACCTAAGAATACATACGCTGCATAAACAAAGCTGTAAGTTTTTATTTTGATTCTTTTTTTTCTTTATTAATTACACGTTATTCACTTTGTCTCCCCCGTGTGGTTCTCTCCCTCCTCCCGTGCCAATCCCTGCCTTCCTCCACCCTCTGCATGAATGCCCCTCCCCAAGTCCACTGATTGGGGAGGACTTCTTTTCCTTCCTTCTGATCCTAGTCAATTAGGTCTCATCAGGAGTGGCTGCCTTGTCCTCTTCTGTGGCCTGGTAATGCTGCTTCCCCCTCAATTTTCAATTCAGATAAATGATGTATGTTCCACATATCTTAATTTATTCAGTTTTTCTTTAATATCTTTAGTAATGTCTATTGTTTTCAGGATATAAATTTTGCATATAATTTCTAGCTATACTGAAGATTTTTTGATATGTCCAAATATGAATTTAAAGTTTTTTAATTATTGAATTGTTTGATGAAAGTGCTTACTTACACAGTTGATTTTTGTGTATTAATTTTTCATCAAGCAACCTTGATAAATTCCTTAATTTTGTAACATGTTAGGTAGATTATTCTGAAATGCATATATATAAAATGTTGCAACTGAAGATAAGGTCTTACTTCTTACTTTACAGAGAGAATATATATAAATGATATAACATACATATTTTATGTAAAGATAAAAATATATATATTATATATGCCCTTTATCTCCTTTTCTCATCTTCCCCGTCTATGTAGTGAGTAGAATTGTTGCAACAGTGGATATATTCTTCTTAATTCTACGTTTGAAGGAAAACATTCACATTCTCACAGTGTGCTATTGATTTGAACTTCTGTAGCTACCATTGAGTTTGGTAGCTTTTTCATGGATATTATTTCTAGAGGAGTAACCTAAGGATCTCAGAATGTTTACCACCCTTGAGTGTTCTGTACTGTACAGTTCATATGTACACCCTGTGGGCTCAGTTCTGAATGCCGTGCTGTTTGCATGCTTCTCTAGGTCCGTATTGCTTGTGTGCCTTTCCTTGTTGCGAATTTACACTAACTTGAAGTTCATTTTCTACAAGGAGTTTGCCCCAAATCACCAAATATGCGTTCTATGCCCCCATACCTGCCACAGGTTTATTCCATTCTTCCTCATCTTTCCTCTTTTATCTTGTGCTTGTCTGTTATTCATACAATCTAAGTTCCATGAAATATGAGCCATTTTCTGTTTAGTCAAGTCAATATTTGCCTAGTATTCGCCCAGATCTAATGTGATAAATGCTGAGTAGATAGTCTGCCGTGTCGGGAAGAAACAACCAGGGAACAGCTAGATCTTGGCTAGTGAGAATGCAAAATCAGACAAAAACCCAGTATCTTAGCCTTGCCTATGATGTGTACTCTCCGTTCCCTGTCTGTCTTGTTTCAGAAGGGCCTTAAAGGTGCTTGTGGCACATATTGCATATTGTAGCCGTTAGATCATAATTGTGAGGACCATTTACTAGAAAGTAGAATTTTAAAAAATTGCACATACACTTAAACTTTGTAACTTTACATGGCTGTCTATAAAATAAAATTTAAAAAAAAATGCTAAACTTCCCCCAAATATCTCTATTCTCAGAATTAAATGCAAAGATTTTTAGACCAAGGAAATGTCTTACCCTATAAACTGGCTGCTGTACAAGCCTGTGGGTCTGAGCTTGGATCCCCAAAGCCCACATAAAAACCCAGGCAGCGGCACAGCCTGTGAACTCAGAACTTAGGCCAATTGCTTACCTTGCCAATCAATAAGTTCCAGGTTCAGAAGAAACCTGATCTCAAAAAATGTGAGGGGCGATAAAGAAAGATACCCAAAGTATATCTCTGACCTCCACACATATGTGCAAACACACTCACAGAGAATAAAAAAAAAAAAAAGAGAGAGAGACATGTTTTTAGGGAGACATGTTGGGAGGGGGGAGGTCTTAATAATTATAGTATTATTGTTGTGATAAAACACAATGATCAAAAGCAATGTGAAAAAGAAAGTATTTATTTCATCTTGTACGTAATAGTCCATCGCTGATGGAAGTCAGGGCTAGAACTCTAGCAGAGCAAGCACCTGGAGGCAGGGGCTACTGCAGAGGCCTTGAGGGATTGCTGCTTACTGGCTTGCTCCCCATGGCTTGCTCAGCCTGCTTTCTTATAAAACCAGGACCCTAGTCCAGGGATGGTACCACCAACAATGGGCTGGGCCTTCCCCCATCAATCACTAAATAAGAAAATTCTCTACTGTCTTATCTGCAGCTCCGTCTTGTAGGGACCATTTGTCAATTGAGATTCCATCCTCTTGGATGACACTGACTCTAGCTTGTCTCAAGTTGTCATAAAAACTAAATAACACAGAGAAGGGAGGGGGAAGTTGCAAAAGAGAAAAAGGTGGATATGATAATTTTTAAAAATTATATATGTGTGTGAAATTCTCAAGAATAAGGGAAGATTATCACTTAAAATTGTACATAAAAGTTAGATAATTCAATATCATAAAGCAAAAACAAAAAGAATTTATGTAACAATTGATAGGACATTATTATGAATTGTTTATATTTTTATGCAATATCACACATCAAACTGTTACTGAAATTTTAGAAGAAGTCTACATTTGTGAATCTAAGATTCACCCTGAGACTAGAAAGATGGCTCAGTGGTTAATAAAATCAATAAATCTAAAATTAAAAAATACACTCATCCCCAGAAGTCAATTTATTCTCAGCACTAAATACCTTGTCTAACCATATAATTTTCATGAGGATTACTATGGATTTTGTATGTGTATGTTGTTGTTGTTTATTTTGCCTGTTGTTTTGTGCTATATCTTATTTTGGTCTTTTGTTTGTTTGTGTGTGTGATTTTTTTTTTTTTTTGGAGTTCTTTAGTATTATTTAAACAACTATGGACTTGTCCTTCATGGCTAAGACTGTAATCACAGTGAGTGCTGGCAATGTCAATATTTTTATACTACTAAGTCTGTCGACCTGGTGGCTAATCGAGAGAGTATGTTCTCCATATTATTTGCCTTTATCTCTTGACCTTCTGTATTGTTGGCAAACACAATAAAGGCAAAGGAAGACTAGAGCCTACGGCATGTGAGGAGCAGCTGTCTGTGGAACGGTGCCCATCCCTGCGGGTCAGCCTTCCTAACATGGTTAAAGAATGCGCACATTTATATCAGCTTTACTACACGATTACAAGAGAAATAAAGATTATTCAGCCGTAAACAATATTTAAAACCTCTTGTGCTCATCTCTGATAAACCTCGGATACAGTACAAAGGGACTATTCTTTAGCTTCTTTTTTATTTAAACAAGTCACTTGAACTTTAAGGTGTCAGTCCCTGATTCCCAAAAGGGGAGGATGATAAATATAAATATTTATAGTACTTTATATTGTAAACCTTGTTTTCAATATAGAGCTTTTTAAAGCGCTTGAAAATAGATGTTTTCCTAATGTTTACTTTGATGCTCATTAATGTACACATGTGAATTTTCACATGTGACCCCCCAGTAGCTGTACAGTCTTTATTGAAAATCCATTTATTTACTCATTTCATTAAGCATTTATGTTTGTTATACTCTCTATTCTATTGCCTGCTATTTCTTTTAATTCCACTGTAAGATATTAGACACTGGTTTGAAATTTGTGTGACAATCTTTAAATTTAGATTTTACTTACAAATGGACTGTATTGGTTAATATAAGCTGAAACTTGTCCTTAGTATTTTGAACTTATTTGTGAATACATCATGGTTTAATTTTCTGTATCTACAAGTGTGACAATGCTTTAATGAAGCTTTATGTTCCCAGCTCTGATCTACACATTAGCTTTGCCCAGACAAGGAATGATGACATGTGCATGTGAGTGTCTGGCCTTTTGCAATTACCTAAGCATTGTCCTGACTACTGTGTCATCTCAGTGTCCACTGAGATCTCCTGGTTTGAACAAGTATAAGCATCACCGTTTTATAGATTTAAAAATGTGGAGAAGTTGTCAGAGATGCCTCAGTGGATAAAGCACCCCTGCAAATGTGAGGACCAGCATTTGGATCCTCAAGGATCCATGGAAAAGCTACCTGTAGTCTCCCTATTCAGGAAGCAGTAACAGGATCCCTGGGGCAAGCTGGGTACCTAGACTGGCCATAATTGTGTTACTCCTCATGCAACAAGACACCTTGACTCAAAACAAAATGGAGAACAATCAGAGAAGAGACCAGACTCAACCTTTGGTCTCTACGTGTATGTACATGCTCATGGGTAGACACATGTACATACCACACATAGACACAAGCAAACAACACAGAAAGGTGGGGATTCAAGAATATAAATAACCAAAAGACACATGGAAGATGATGGAAGTGTCTTTTTATTGCTTTTTTTTTTTTTTAACTAACCAGTAGAAACCAGGCAGCAATCAGTGACAGAGCATGAGAAACCATCAGTACAACTGGGTTAGGATAGAATTGGGGAGGTACACCTGATGCCTTATAAAGCAACTCTGGGTAATTAGATATAAAATATAATAACCAGCTAACATGTGACAGTTTCTAAGTGCAAAAAGACTACCAAATATGAGCCATCTTAGCGCTAGACATAATGAATACAATTGAAGTGAAGCCCTCTGTTACTAATTGAATTGATGTCTGGAAATATATATTCATTCTGATAATCAGTGGAACACAGGTGGTTTTATAAATCCCTGTGGATTCACAAGGGGGGATCTGCAATTCAATTTTAGAAAGCCAACACAGAGGTTTTTTTTTTTTTTAATTCTAAGTAACAAAATTGTTGGCTTACTCTTCTCCAACAGTGTAGTATCTAAAACTCTTGTGCCAAGTTTAAAAATCCAGCATTCTAATTTCCCTGTTCCACTGGCAAACTTCACACCAGTAAGGATGCTGTGGAAGGGAATTGGAAGAGCCGATTGCGAATGCCTAGTTGCTGATTTCACTTAATTGCTTTTTTATGGGAATGCATAAAACTAATAATTATTGCATGATAAATGAGGAATAAATTGAAGTGTGACCCCAGCTTGTGAAAATCTTTGGTGCATAAAACTTTGAACATGACACATCCAGATTCGCAAATTATTGCATCCAAAATTGAGTTACCCTGGCAGCCAGATTTCTTTAATCAGACAACTTGTTAGAATTCTCTCCCATATATTTGCATCTTTTTCTTTTTTAAACTTTGAGATCCAGAATTTCAAAGCTTAATAACGGAAGAAAATTTCCTGAAATTAAGTAAACAACTTGTATTTATTTTAAAGAAATCTATGGAGTTTGGTAAACTGTCTCAGCCAGAAGATGGGAACATTTTTCTAATTTTGTCCTTATTTCTCTACACTTATGTCAGAGTCTCACTAAAAAAGGAATTTTAAGACGTAACAGTTTTCAGGTGTTTCATATTTTGTGATAATTTTAATTAAAATACAAATTTCTTTCTTTGGTCCTTTTTCAGAGTAGATTTAAGTTGGTGTTAAAAACAGTCTTGCTGAGAGGTGGTGACTTTACTCTCAGCACTTGAGAGACAGAAATAGGCAGATTTCCACCTTTGAGGCCAGCTTAGTCAACATAATGAGTTCCAGGATAGGCAGCGAAACAGCAGACAACAGATAGACAGCACAGAGAAACCCTCTCTCTAAAAATGAAAAATAGATAAAAGATAGATAGATGATAGATGCATAGATAGATAACAGACAGACAGACAGATAAAAATTAATAATAAAAATAGTCAGGGTTTATATGTATGGTGTCTCTGTGTGCATATGATTCTTGTTATTTTTTCTTTTCTCTGATACTTGTTTTGCTCTGTTCTGCTTTGTCTTTTTATTTTATTTGTTTTGTTTTGTTAAGTAAAAAAGAAAGAAGGCACGGGGTTATATGGATGGGGAGGTGGGGTGGGTCTAAGGGGAGATGAAGAAGGGTAAACTGTGAACTAAATGCATTATATGGAATAAAAAGTCCACTTTCAATTAAAAGTAACCGAGCAGTATTGACTGCATGCACTTGCCATTTGTGTTCATTCTAATATGGGTAGTGGAGGTTGCCAAGTGTGGACGTCATCCTCAGTTACCTTTTTGGATTAGCTTATCAGCAATAGCGTTGGGTAACTTTCCAGTGCCTGTGAATCCATTATAGTGTGGTGATGTTATTTTTCTTAACCCATGTATATATTTCAATTAAAAAAATTATTCCAAAGTCTTGGAGGCATTGTTCAGTGGATTAAGCACTTGTCTCACGAATGTGGGGAATAGAGTTTGTTTCCCAAGACCCAGCATAAAAGCTGAGTGGGTGAGGCGGTGAGCCTGTAATCCAAGCATTCAGGAGATCGGAGGGGGTTCCCAGGACAAGCCTGCTGTCCTGGCCAAACCTAAAATCCATGCTTCAGGAAGAGGCTGCTTCATAAATAAAACAGAGAGCGGTATAGCAAGACACCCAACATCAACCTCTGGGCTCCACACTCACATACATAGACATGCCTGCGCACACACCCACATCTGTGAATATGCCCTCACACACAGATGGACACACGCACACACACACACACACCCACGTGCACTGGAAAAAGAAAGAAAGAAAGAAGGAAAGAATAGAAAGAAAAGAAAAAGAAAGGGCAGAAGAGATGGCTCAGTGGTTAAGAGCACTGCCTGCTCTTCCTAAAGGACCCGGGTTCAATTCCCAGAACCCACATGGCAGCTCACAACAGTCTGTAACTGCAGTCTTCACACCTTCCTACCAATGCACAAAATTAAATAAATTATTTAAAAAGAAAGGAAGGAAGAAAAGAAAGAAACAAAGAAAGCCCATCTTGAGATAAAAAAGACAGCAAGTTCATTCTATTGCTATGTAAATGAAAATCCAGAGAACCTTTTTACTTTTATTTCTCATTAATTTATTTATTCACTTTACATCCTGATCGCTGCTCCTTCCTCCTCTGCTCCCGGTCCCTCCCTCCTACCCTCTTCCCCTTTCAACCCCTCCCCCTTTCTTCAGAAAAGGGGAGCCCACCACCACCATGAACAACCCGCTCTAACACATCAAGTCTTATTAGGATTAAGCACATCCTGAGGCCAGACAAGCCAACACAGCTAGGGGAAAGGGATCCAAAAGCAGGCAATAGAGTCCATGTCAGGGACAGCCTCTGCTCCAGTTGCTAGGGGACGCCCAAGAAGACCAGCTGCCCATCAGCTACATATGCCAAAACATCTTTTTAAATTCAAAATTGTCAAATACTCTGGCATGGCGGCTTTATTTTGTAGTGATGGTGGTTGTTGTCGGAGACAAAACAGTTACAAAATCAAGTTGGCTCTGGTTCATTCATTAAAATCTGTCTCATACATTTCTACAGGATAAATGTGTTAACTGGTTCTGTTTCTTGTGCTTTTCATGTTTACAGTATTCTATTCTCATCACTATACACCTTCTTCACCAGCCACAGCCCTTATTCAATTTCTGAACACTTAGATAAGTCCCTAGATAATTCAGCAAGCTCAGACCTAGTTGGTCATTTGAAAGGCGCACATTGTATCTCATTTTAATATTCCTAATCAGTGCATCATGTAAATGCGTTCTGAATAATGCATGTCTCCGCTTTAATTACTTGTTTAATTATCTTTAGTCTTTTTTTTTTCAAAGCCTACAGCAATGGCTGTTGCTCGGATGATTAGAAAATTGCTTCCAGTTGCAGAAATCTATTTCCTGTTGTTTCTTTTGGCAGTGATTGCAGACCGGCCTCCCCCAGTCATTCGACAAGGTCCTGTGAATCAGACTGTAGCAGTGGATGGTACTTTAGTCCTCAGCTGTGTGGCCACAGGCAGCCCAGCGCCCACAATTCTGTGGAGGAAAGACGGGGTCCTTGTTTCAACCCAGGATTCTCGGATCAAACAGCTGGAGAGTGGCCTGCTACAGATCCGATACGCTAAGGTAACTTGCAAAGACATCCTGGACTTCCTGCTTGGTTCTACTTTATTTTTACCTACAGAATCTGGTGATGAAATGCAGTCACCTTGTTGAAATACTAAATAAAATATGAATACGTGTTTAATGTGATGCATCATTTGTTCAGACATGCCACAATGACTGCTTGGGGCGATTTGACTCATGACTTAGCTTATGGCAAGTAATTTAAGGTCCTGTGAAGGTAGGAGAAAATGCTTTGGAAGACACATTGAGGAAAGTGGTTGGGGACCTGAGAAGAGGGGGTATGCCTTCTGTGTGCAGGCATTTTGTAAATAACTAGAAAAGTGAATATTTTTTGAGCTGTATTTCCATTGTGACTACTTGGCTCAGTGTTTTGCGATTACAGAATATCACACACACAAATAACACTTATAAAAGCCATACACTAGCTCAGTGTGCATTTCAAATCAGAATGCTAAGTGATAAAAAGGCCGCAGATTTGTGGAAACAAATAGAGGGATGTACTATCCCCGGGCCATTACATCTCATATCAGTCCTTTCAGGACTTTTTATATTGTTTTCCTTTTGATTTTTCTTTGTGGTCTAGATCATACAAGATTTTGTGGCATATGAAATGATAGTATTGGGCTGCTATCAGTAGTCAATTGAATAGCCTGGCTCACGGGGTGGATTCTTGAGTTTTGGATCAACTTCACAGTTGGTTCTGTGTACCACAAAACTTACTATGTTGTACTTCTTTATGGCGACTGTTGCAACATTAATCAACAACTCTTATCTTCAAAGAAATACATTGTCATCTGGCTCTGGCTATGGCAACTGTTGCAACAAGGCTTTAGTAGGCTGCTCCAAGTTTTAGGTTGAACCAGGTTTTACTTTTTGGTGTTCATTTTTCAGAAGGGAGAGTGTCTGTACAATCAAGGGTTTTGTTTTTACGTCTGAGACTGCCTAAAGTTTTATAATGGGGGGTAGGGTGAATAAATTAAGAAGACACCATATAATTTGGGTTTTTTCTGCCTAATCTTTGATGCTAAACCTAGTCTGTTAAAGCAATTGAGTGTGTGTGTGTGTGTGTGTGTATTTCATTGCACAGTTAGGATAACCGTTTAAAGGCTCCTTATTTCTGTCTTCATGCAACATCTTCCTTCACATTTCAAGAAAAATATATTCAATTAAAGGGACATTTCTGGCTAGCAGATTTTAATGTAGTTATCCATATTCATGGACCATGCACAAACCTGTAATTGTTTTTCCAGCCCAGCAAGGTCTTGATTATTCCAAATATTTCTCTTCCATGTGCTTTCGCAGCTGGGTGACACCGGTCGGTACACCTGCAGTGCGTCAACCCCCAGCGGTGAGGCCACGTGGAGCGCTTACATTGAAGTCCAGGGTAAATTCCTCCATTTGCTTGTTTTGACAAATAAAGCCAGTGTCCATAAGAAGGCAAGTTAATGTATGACCGGCATTCATGTGCTACTTTGTGTATGTATATTTTTTTTTGTTTTCTTCCCTCCATTCTTGTTAGAATTTGGAGTTCCGGTTCAACCTCCGAGACCCACCGACCCCAATTTAATCCCCAGTGCCCCCTCAAAGCCTGAAGTTACAGATGTCAGCAAAAACACAGTAACTTTATTGTGGCAGCCAAACTTGAACTCAGGAGCAACCCCGACATCTTATATTATAGAAGCCTTCAGGTAGAGTGAGGGGGTTTCTTCCCAGCACCTTTTTTTTTTTTTTTTTGCATCCAGTGTTCTTGTTCTAATGTATGTATCCATCCTTAGTCATGCGTCTGGTAGCAGCTGGCAGACTGTGGCAGAAAATGTGAAAACAGAAACATTTGCCATCAAAGGACTCAAACCTAATGCAATTTACCTTTTCCTGGTGAGGGCAGCTAATGCATATGGGATTAGTGATCCAAGCCAAATATCAGATCCAGTGAAAACACAAGGTAAATATTGATTGACTGAAGTTTGAATCACCTACTTGTCTTTCGATGTTGTAATTGTACTGGCATGATATGTTTGTTGCATGCTAAGATTGCACATTCGCAAACTGTTCAATTTTTTTTTTTAACTACACAATGCAATGTCTACAAACTACGATTTTTCTGGACTGAGACTACTGAGATTGATAACATGGCGACTTGCTTCTCATAAGATCACAAGTCCACTAAAAATGCCCTGTGGCTATTTGTATATTCTTTTCAATTTGGTGAATTTTGAAAGTCTAGTGTCTTAACCTTTTCACAATTGTATTGTGAAAACTGAGTAACTTTCTTGGTACCAAAATTGAGTCCACATAATCTCCACGATAATTTTTCAGACTTCTCACCCTTATTAATTCTCATCCTGTGAAAACCACACAGAAGTAGGTGGTTCATTAGAAACTTTGTTTTCATGCCTCTGGGTAGTTGTGAACATCCTACAAACTGTGGGAGAAATTGGGTCTTCAGTTGTTCTGCTCTGATTCTCACTGCATGAGACATGATATGAAACTTTTAATGGAAATATGTGTATTTTGATGGAAGCTGGGTGGAAGTGGGAGATCAAAAATAGACCATGTAAATCAAGAAGTGATATCCCCTGGGACTTTCTTTTTAATATGTTACTTTTCATCTTCTGTGCATTGAAATTACATTCACCTTTTGGACACCTTTGCCTGCCTACCCTCCTCCTCATTCTATTATTTTAGTATTCTCTCTCTTTTTTTTTTCAGAGCTGAGGACTGAACCCAGGGCCTTGCGCTTGCCAGGCAAGCGCTCTACCACTGAGCTAAATCCCCAAGCCCTAGTATTCTCATAGAAGAAAAATTTATACTTATTTGAGTCAATCTTTACGTTTTCTTTAAACCTAGTATTATCATAATTAAAATATTGATTTCATTCGTAGTCATGGTGAGTCTAGAGGTGACTAGAAATGTAAAATCATTTCCACACACTCAGAAGCATAGTCTGAGTCAATGTTTCCAAGGAAAGACTGTGGATTACTTATAACGAGAGAAGCGGTTAAGCACAAAAGTCCCTAAAAGCCCTAAACTGCTTTCTTCCGGGTATGGAGGATGAAGCACAGCAGTGTTGCATGTTCTGGTGACTCCCAGAGCACATCCAAACAGTGTTTTAGGATGGACGTTTCTGCCTTAGAACTCACAGGAAAAGCAAGCCGAGCTGCAGGACTGTGTGAATTCAGCACACCCAGATGCCTGGATTTGCTATTGTGAGTCACCTGCTCAGGAGGCTTAATATCCTTAGAGCATGCCTTGAGGCAGTGTGAGGTTTGTAATATCAGATACACATTTGTAAAGAATGTCAAAACTATGGTAACTTCTAAATGATTTTAAACTAGTTACCAGTAGAATTATCTATCTATCCACTGTCTCTATCCAGTGGAATCTAAATGAATGTGTTGAGGACCGATTTAATGCATTTCGGACATATTCATGGAAATGGTTTTGTGACAGAATCATTTGCAAATGAAGATATTTGTTCATATGTTTTATGAAGATCATTTTTCCTTTTAAATGTGTTAAAACCACTAGTAAAACAGCATAAGAAAATGATTCTATATTGACCTAGAGACTGACTATCTAGAAAATATGCACACTATTTTGAAATAAAGGGTATTTTCATCTCATCTCTTCAGTCTAGCTGTGTGGCTCTTAGCAAGCTGATCTGCCCAGAGTGCCAGGTCTCCTTCAGTATAAAATAAAGCTAAATAAGCTTACTTCCCTAGAGTTGACAAAGATTATTAACTAATCATTAGTAATGCACTCAAGATATTATGTCCATCGAATTCATAGCAAACTTGTGCTTTTTTCTTAGTTCATTCTAAACCAAAAATAAAGAAGATTCATAGAAAATTCAGCTATCATAACAAGAAAAGTAGCAAGTGAGCCAAATGAGAGTATCAATTAAATATATCTTGACAGCTTGGAATGATGAGCCAGCACTAACAAGATTAAAATTAATAGAGCAAATTAAAAAATCTGGTACTTGAATTATGGTTTGAAAAATTAACTATAAAAGGCTGGAATAAGTAGACCAGCTTAAGGAGGGGTTGTGTGTGTCAGGGTTCAGTGAAGTATGCAGAGCCCAGTTGATCTGTCTGAGTTCACTGACTGATGTACTTGCCAAATGTACAAAATCCATCCTTACTGGATTTTCAGAACTATGTTGGAATCAAGTCATCTTTCCCCCTTCATTTTAAACTCGTCAGATCATGAATTATGTAATGTGTTAGGTGTGGACTCTTATTTTGGTTGGATCGGTACTGTGAACCAAACCCAGAGTTTCATATTCACTTTAACATCTCACCCCTGAGCTATCCCTCCAGCCCCAATTTCTAAGTCTTCTTTTTCATGGGGGGGAGGTGAGATAGGCTTTCCCTGTGTATCCTTGACTGTCCTGGAACTCACTCTGTAGACCAGGCTGGCTTCCAACTTAGAGATCCACCTGCCTCTGCCTCCTAAATGCTGGGATTAAAGGAGTGTGCCACCACTGCCCGGCTTTCTAAGTCTTCTGAGAGGAGGCCAGTGACAGTAGTTGGTAGAACTGAATGAATGGCTGAAAATCAATTCTAATAAAATAAATTTAAGAACCTCGATATGGCTAAGCCCAAACCAAAAACACATAAAGAGTATGAAATCCCTCCCTTACCGTCTTAGGTGACCATGATATGGAAGACAAACTTCCCCTCACTCCAGATAACATAAAAGAACAACCAATCAGTAGATTTAACTAAGGCACATTTCATTGTTTAGCTCTTGGCCTGCTTCTGAGACGCAGTATAACCCACATCAGGACAATGTCATGGGCCTGGGAGTTAGCCTGGCAACACTTGATTCTGTAAAGAGTTTCGACTGTGTGGCTGTCATCAAGAGGTTATGTGGGGTTTGTTGGAACAGCACACTGAGTGTTATTCTGCCTCCACCGGCCTTATCCTTGAACAATTCTTGAGCCTTACCTTTTAATGGAAACGAACATATATATAGAATATTACAGCATGCATATAGGATTCATCAGAAAATACCAGTTATGGGCCTCAGAAGAAAGACCAATAGGTAGAGTGTGCCACTTGAACTTGAGGGCCTGAGTTCAGTCCTTGCCATCCCTGTGAAAACTAACACAAGTAGTAGAGTTCTTACCCAGTGTGCAAGACCTAGGTTGGGGTGATGGGAGGAAGATGTCTTCCCCAAGTCACAGGAGTTTTTGTTGCCCAGGCAAAGGTGTTCATCCAATCAAGGTTTTGATTCTATTTTTCCAGTTCCCGCTGCTTCTCTCCTTCCTTGACCTTGGTAGCTTAAGCCAGAGCAGCAATGAAGAACAGAGAGAAAAGACGCTGTCTGAGTCACAGCTGAGACTCTAGCATTTTAGGCAAACTGTAGGTCAGTCTTTGGACAACAGTATGGGAAAATATATAAAGTATGAATATAAAGTCAAGAATTATTCTCGTAAAGTTATTTTTATCATTTTGCTTATTTTTTGTGTTGTTGTTTGTTTTTGTTTTCAAGACAGAATCTGACGATGTAGCTATGACTGTCCTGAACTCACTATATAGACCAGGCCTCGAACTCACAGAGATCTACCTTCCCCTGCCTTCCAAATGCTGTGACTAAAGGGGTGTGCCATCATGCCCAGCCATTTTGATAAACTTAACTTTTAGATAGGGTAAACAGACAACCAAGTGACACAGATGTTTAATAGTTGTTGACCTGTCCCGTCTTCCATTCATGCTAGTTCTCTTTATATTTTTCACTCCTTCCTATCCTGCGACAGGGTATTTAATTATTTAGCAAACTTCCGTTTTGTTTTATAGGTTGGAACACATCTAAAATGTATGTGTTAAAATAGAATAGTTTATTAAGAGTTCTTAGTCCTTCCAAAATCTTAAGTCTTTATTTTTTGTTGTTGTTCTTTACATTGCATTCCCCTTTACGACTTGGAACAAAGAAAGATACTGGTACTGTAGAAAGCCTTGTTAGCAGTAGGCGGTTTTTATTGACTATAGAGTTTAATAAACTTAGCCAAAATTGTATAACATAAAGGACGCCAGGAGCTGTTTGATCCTTACTATGTCCCTGGACTTCTCTGGAACATTTTAGTATTCATGAGACTGAAAACAAACTATTAAATCCTCTGTATGATATTGTAGTTTAAGCCATTGTCTTAGCTCACGGATCTTATCAACTTTACTTTATCAGATTTTCACCATGGCCTCTGTGTCTTCACTGTATAGCTGTTTACTTACCATTTACTTTACTTGGGAAGAAACGCAGCTTTCTGCTAGGAGATGTGCTATCCAGCTGCTCTCTGCGCTCAATTTCCCCTCACTGTGTTTGCAAGCTTTTCGTTCTTTATCTGCTCAGCTGTAATTCCTCTTCTTTGTGTTCTTGCATGGTGAGGATCAGTGCAGAGGGGTGCATCAAACTCATAGAGAATTGTCCCACTGCCCTCCTTCTCAGCAGTGAAATGATTACACGATGTGGGGCTCTCCTAAACATTACCGTGTGCCACTGTTCTTTTTGCCTCCTGCCCTTTGGGGCTTACCAGGTTTCCTGCTTGTTCTGTCTCTCCTCTGCCTCCCTTCTCTGTTTCTCTTTATCTGATCCTTATGAAAAGGTTAAGCTGTTATGGGTGTAGAGATGGGATGGCTCAGTAGGTAAGAGGCCTTGCTCTGAAAGCCTAAGGACCTACATTTGAATCTCAGCATCCACATAAAAAAGCCAACTGTGACCACATAGTCCTGTACCCTGGTGTGATGGGGGATGGGGCAGAGACATGAGGGTCACTGGAAGGATTGCTGGCTGTCAGCCTAGCTCCAGGTTCAGTGAGAAACGCTGTGTGGAGGGAATAAGGCAGAGAGTGATAAAGCAGAACCCCTGGTATCCTCTCTGGCCTTACAGATATGCGCACATGTGCGCACACACACATACCTGAACATATGTACACACACATACAAAGAAGCTAATTTGTGCTTATTATTCTCTGTATTCGGACTGACTTCACAGTTCCATCGATTCTTCTTTTCTCAGGGTTGTTGTTGGTGCGGTAGCAGGGCACAGGGCCTAACAGTGTTTTTGAATTGCTGCAGATGTCCCACCAACCAGTCAAGGGGTGGACCACAAGCAGGTCCAAAGAGAGCTGGGGAATGTTGTCTTGCACCTCCACAACCCTACCATCCTTTCCTCCTCTTCAGTCGAAGTACACTGGACAGTGAGTTGTTGTAATATTTAATTCATTTTTAAATGAGCAGGTGATTTCTGTGAGATTATTGTACATAGGGAATATACAGAGCTGCTGGTCACTTCCACACCAATGTTCATTTTATTATGCAGACCTTGTTTATTCCATCTATTCCATCATTAAACAAATTAAACATGTGCATATTTATAGTTAGCATGTGCATATGCCAAATATATGCAAACGTGATATATATGCTAACATAATTAACCCTACCAGTGTCAAGGGATGGAATCACAGGTATTTGAACACGTGACATGTGACATGCACATTGCCACATACACTTTTAACTTAGAAATTCTTCCCAGTATTATCAAGTAGATTTTTTTTAATATTTGTATTCATTCTTTGATAATTTTATACATGTATACAATGCATTTTGGGCATGCGCAGCCCATACCCCTTCTGCTAACACTCCTCAGATCCACTTCCATTCTCCCATACATTTCCAGCTTTATATGAGTAGATTTTCAAAGCCAAGATGAAAAAAATGAACGCCTTCCCTAAGATACCCATGTATCTCTTAGATAATGTGCCAGCCATTGCAAAGCCTCCCTGCTGGAAGCATAGCGTGACATCATAGATGCTAATGGCCCCTTACGTCTGTGTAGTAGAGAGCCACACTATGGAGTCCCATGCGGTTTTGTGCTACTTGTTGTGTGTTTTTTGTTTGTTTGTTTGTTTCTGTTACTTTGCACTGAAACAATAAAACTGTGCTACTAACTCTGTTTTTCATCATCATTGTAATAGGTGGACCAACAATCTCAGTATATTCAAGGATATAAAATTCTCTACCGGCCATCCGGAGCCGGCCACGGTGAATCCGAGTGGTTAGTTTTTGAAGTGAGGACCCCAACCAAAAACAGTGTGGTGATTCCTGATCTCAGAAAAGGCGTCAACTATGAGATTAAGGCTCGCCCATTTTTTAATGAGTTTCAAGGAGCAGACAGTGAGATCAAATTTGCCAAAACCTTAGAGGAAGGCAAGTATGATAGAGCATGCTTCCTACTTTTGTGCTTTCCTGTGCTTCTGAATTAATGGGAGCTGTGTAAGAGTTCACAGCAACAGTCATCATGAATCTGTGTCCATTAAAATACTTTGCTATGGGAACCTGGTTACTTACTACAAGTATAAGACACGAAATCCTATGATGAGTTACTTGCGCCGGTAGCAGCCTGTACAAAATGTGTGCAAATGTTAGCGTTACTAAAATTCACATTCAGGGACCGCATTGTTCATGATCTGTTCACTTTTTTTTTATTCACTGAAGCTTATGTTAATGGTGTGTAGATAAAGTGAGTAATGTCTGGGTTTGCCCGGACTTTCCAGAGTGTGTGCGCATTTTCTCCTGATGCCTCACATTAGGAAATCCCTTAGTTCCTGGCAAACCAGTATTTCCACCCTGCAAAACAGTATTCACATAAATATAACTAGCTTCATGTCACAGCATACTTCCGAATAAACAAAAAAAAAAAAATAGCAGAATTTTCTCTAATTGTAACTTACTGAATAAAAGATAGTGTATAGTTAAATGTGAAAAAAGATTACCATCCTTTTTCCTCGTACATTTCCTAGTACATCCTAGTTTTCCAAGTACATTCTAAGGAGAACATATGAGATCCACGTGACAGGCTGAAAGGAATAGATATTATCCTAAGGATCTTTTTAATTTTTAAAAATGTATTACTAGTCTGCATTTGTGTGCATAGTGAAGATATGGAGAGGATATTGTTTCTCCTTCCATCTTGAGATCCCGTGCTATCAGTCACGAGGTCAGTCTCTGCCCGGGCAACACATTTCCTGATCCACTTCAGTGCCCTGGCCTGAGGTTTTTGTGTGCTGTGATTAGAACAGCTTATGAGAAATTCACAGTATGAGTGACTTAGGGTGACTTGGAGAAAACTTGTAGTTTGGAACCCTTTAGCGTTGGGTGATACCCATATTTAATAGAGGCAGCATCTGCATACTTACTGTGTGTTTTTAGACACTGGGAGCTTTGGTGTTTTTGGACTACACTCTTACAATCTACTTTTTAATGACATTTCATAGCACCAAGTGCCCCTCCCCGAAGTGTAACTGTATCAAAGAACGATGGAAATGGGACCGCAATCCTGGTCACTTGGCAACCACCTCCTGAAGATACACAGAATGGAATGGTCCAAGAATATAAGGTAAAATACGCTTAGTGAATTTACAGACAGGCAGCCCTCACTGCTCACTGAAAAATAGCCTGGATAAATTGTCTATATGACTTTGTCGCCATCTGCTGGCCCAACTGCCAACATGTAGAATTAGTTCTTAAATTCTGTGCAGTGATTTTGTAGTAATTGTCCATACCAAAAAAAGCTATTTGGAAAAAAAAAAAAAAAAAAAGAAAGAAAGAAAGAAAGAAATTAAAATAACAGCCACAAATGGTCTCTTACTATTTGTTCATATACTCTAATAGAAAAAGACACTGTAAATGCTCATGATATTTTTATCTACCCAAAATGTGGCTTAAATAGATCACCCAGAATTGTGTTACTCTAGGGAGTTGACTGTGAACATAGTCATAGTCTGTTTAATGTCAACAAATTTTTTAATGGTTTTCTTTCTCTCTTGACATCTGTAAAATGTATAACCTTACAATTAGGTTGGGAAAGTTGTTCTTCTATACTTGGGAATCTTTGTTCTGTGATGAAGTTTTAGCCTCTAAACAAAATTTCAGATCTCAGAGATTTATCTATGAATTTCTATTTGTTATACATTTCTTTTTAGAGCTGGTGATTCTGGAGAATTATTTTACCTATGAAGTAAGAACTGCTCACTAAGATGGAGAGTTTTCACTAGGATTCATTTTAAGCAAATACATTCATTAAAAAAAAATGAGCCCCACAAGGTCCAAACATATCTAAGCATAGGGGTCTTCTATGAGACTGTTTATCCAACCAAGGACCATGCATGGATATAACCTACAACCCCTGCTCAGACATAGTCCATGGTAGCTCAGTATCCAAGTGGGTTCCCTAGTAAGGAGGACAGGAATTGTTTCTGACATGAACTCATGAGCTTCCCCTCTCACCTGAGGGAGGAACAGCCTTGCTAGGCCACAGATAAGGACATTGCAACCATCCTGAAGATAGCTGATAAGCTAGGGACAGACAGAAGGAGAGGAGGACACCCCCTCTCAGTGGACTCGGAAGGGGGCAGGGAGGAGATGAGGGAGGGAGGAGTGGATTGGCAGGGAAAGAGGGAGTGGGCTACAGCTGGGATACAAGTGAATGTGTAAAATTACTTAAAAATAAAAAAGAAAATTTCCTCAAGCAAAAAAGAGAGAGAGAGAGAGAGAGAAACTTCAGATTTACTCAAAAGAGTGTGCACCTAGCCTAGTAAGGAATCTCTTACCCAGGAGAGTGGTGAAATCTGTACTTTAGTGTAGTGGTAAACTGATAGATGGTATACTAAATCAGAAGCATCGCGATGGAAAATAAGTGGGTGTTTTTTAAGCATTACTGCAAACAAACTTTAAATGTAATTATAACTCCAAATATAAATAAAACTATAAATATATATATATATATATGTATATATACACATAACTTTAACCACAACAAATTTGAACTGTAGAGCATACACTTTCATACTTAGCATTCCTATGAGGCCTGAGTAATTTTCTGGATATTAGTTAACATTGTGGCATGGGTTCATGTGTGTCACTGAGGTGGAAGCAACTGGATAAGTATGAATATGAATGTGACTATTCCGTGAATATGAACCTGTGCGAGGAAGGCAAACACATTTGCTTTCTCCTCTGTAAGCAGCCATTTTGTCCTTCAGGTTAGCATCCAAAGTATGTGAGTGGTCACACCAGGACCGCTGTGGGTCCCTTTTGATAAATCTTCAGGTGATCTAATGGGTATCACAGTAAAACTGAACCAAGGAACATAATTTTATTTAATTTATTTATTTATCTGCAGATCTATGTGTTTAGTCTGTGTGTGTGTGTGTGTGTGTGTGTGTGTGTGTGTGTGTGTGTATGTGTGTGCATATTGGGCCATGGTGAGTGAGAGTAAGTCAGAGGACAACCCCTCAAGACTCCATTTTTCTGCTTTATCTTGCTGGCTTGGAACATAAATTATTTTATTAATAATATTATTATTTTATTAATAGAAAAAATTAATTCATAAAGCTGAAACTGATAAAAAGGGCCTATAATTCCAGTTCTCAAGTTTAAACCTAAGTTTAATTGTAAGCATAACATTTGAAGGTTATTTGTGTGTGTGTGTCGAAAAATCACTTTTGTCCATTAATTAACATTTTTATATATTAGTTTTTTATGTACTTTTTAAGTTTTTAAGGAGGCTGGGGAGATGGCTCAGTCAGTAAAATGCTGACTGCGTAAGATAGAAGATCTGAGTTTGATCGTCCAGAAGCCACTGGGAAAAAAGTAATAGAGACATAATAGTGACACATGCCTCTAAGTCCAACCATAGGGAAGCCTGGGATTTGCTGGCCCAAGGGTATCAAGCCCAGTTGGTGAGTCCAGGTTCAGTAAGAGACACTGTATCAAAACATAAATTGGAAAGTGACTGAGAAAGACACTGATGTCAAATGCAGGCCTGCACACATACACAAACATGCACATAAACATGCACATAAGAGAACTAAGCCTTTTTATTTAAAGACTGCTATAAATACACAATAGGTGTTTTGTTGTTGTTTCGTTTTGTTTTGTTTGCCTGCATGTATGTCTGCGTGAGGGTGTCTGATTCCTCTGGAACTGGAGTTACAGACAGTTGTGAGCTGCCATGTGCGTTCTGGGATTTCAACCTGGGTATTCTGGAAGAACTGACGGTGCTCTTGGCTGCTGGGCCATCTCTCCAGCCCCCACTACAGGCGTTCTAAAGCATTTCAACTTGTAACTGAGTCCTTAAGAGATAAAGATGGCCGTCACTTTAAACGGTTTATCACGAGCTCTAAGGTTTAGAATAGGACGCTGTTTCAGCCCCAGGAAAGAGACTGCTTTAGGAGAGTTTGTAAAAGAGCTTAAAATTTGATGGTGTCTTGGCTCCCAAGCAAAATTGTGTAACATAGACATTTTCCCCGAAGAGTCAGAACTCATTTCTCTCCTCGAGAAATGTGAAAGGATGGATTTCACTTAACTTCATGGTCAATTTAAAATAATAAAATGCCTTTCAGAACCTGATTGACTGGTACAAAATCAGTTTGTGGCTTTGGTTCAGCTGTGTAATGTAATTGGTGGGAAAAAATTCACAAAGGAGTCTATTTCCAATGGTCAGGTCCGGATAGAATGGCTCACCATTTGTGAGCGCTATGCATTGAAACTGTACTGCAGTAATAAAAACTTTCAAAGAGAAAAGTTGAATGTTATTGGCCAAGAGATGGAGGACCCGGGTGTTTCAGATTGCCTCTAAGTCTGTGTTCCCACTATAGTTGAGGTCACAGCCCATCCTAACTAACCCTTCCTACTGCTGAAGGGCATTTCACAGAACCCAGAGTATTATTCACTATTCTATATGTTGTTTCCTTGTGGAAACAATAAAAATATTCATCATCCCCCATATTTAGTGGATTCAAAATTATCATTCTATGATTAATCTTTTAATGAAACTTAAATCAAGGCCTAGAGTATAGTCCAAACTTCCAATTTCCCCTCTTTGGAGAAGGCAGATGGTTTCCTATTGCAAAGATAGCTTCGCACTATCAAAGCTCAGGACTATACCGCTACCTTTTTATTATAAGAAATTTCTCACACCAAGTGTATATTGTTATTCTCTTAATTAATCCCCTATGTGTTATGAAGCAGAAATTATTATTTCAATTTAAATGGAAGAAGTTCAGACTGCAAATATTGCCCAATGATCACAGTTCAGCATACCATACTCTCGATAAACACTAGGGCGATGCTTATCCCTTGGTAATATTTTATTTTCACTCTCACCGATATTTATATGAAGTATTTTAGATTATTTGGGAGCTCTTCTGCCTTCTCAGACAACTGTTTCTTGGTTTTGATATCCATGTGATGTGTTAGTGACAGTTCTGATTAATTCTGTCTTGAAATACCAGGATCAGTACTGCCAATGTACCTTTGTATTGTGGCATCTGGTTAAATGGAATTATCTTACAGTGTAATTGTCAAATGGTGGCAGATACATTATTATTCTTTTCGGGAAGGTTTCGGTGCAGGGTTTCTCTGTGTAGCCTTGGCTGTCCTAGACTCGCTCTGTAGACCAGGCCAGCCTCAAACTCAAATCCCCCTGCCTCTGGCTATTATTCTTGATGTGGATACTCACAGCTTTCTGCAGAATAATTTTTAATTTCTTCATGAAGATGTCTTGAGGTCAAAAAAATTGAACAGAAATCTAATGAAGTGGGCTGATGAGAGCCTTTGAGAGAAACAACCATGTTCCAGCAAGCTGACCAATTTATATGTTAAAATATTTTTAAAATAATTTGTTCATTTTAAATATTTACTTATGTGTGTGCCTGTCTGAGGCCAAAAAAGGACATCAGAGCCCTCAGGGCTATAGTTACAGATGTTTATGGGCTAAATTATGTAGGTGTTGGGATCCAAAGCCCAGTCCTCAAGAACCCTGATTATGTTGCAAGCCTTCCTAACTGTTGTGCTATCTCTCTAGCCCCTATATGATAAATTCTTGAATGATTATAGATTTTTAAAAGTGCTCACAAAAACATGAAGGAATCTTAAAGCTATCGCTAATATAAAGTTTGACTAGAATAATCGCAGAATTAGGTCAAGGAAAAAGAATGACTTCTGAAGTTTCCTACATAGAATTCTTGACAGATCTGAGCTCTGGGTAAGCCTGAGACTCCTCTGTGATTTTTGCTGAGCTTTGTGTTACGTTGGATGAGATACCAGCTTTACTTTTTTATATAATTCTTACAGGTTTGGTGTCTGGGGAATGAAACTCGGTATCACATAAACAAGACGGTGGACGGTTCTACCTTGTCTGTGGTCATCCCCTCTCTGGTTCCTGGGATCCGCTACAGCGTGGAGGTGGCCGCAAGCACTGGGGCTGGTCCTGGGGTGAAGAGTGAGCCTCAGTTCATCCAGCTAGGTAAGCGCCATCATTTCACCACTTGCCCTGCTTTGCTGTTTTCATCTTGCATGTTGTCCAGCTGTTGTTGCAGGTGAACTAGAGTATGATTTATGCAATGGGGCCATCTTTATTTTAAACACAGGTAACTATAAATATGTAGCCATGAATCATCTCCCAAGGGCAACACGTTCGGAGAAATACAGCATTAGATCGTTAGGTGATTTTTGTCCTGGTGTGAGCATCACCGAGTAGTTACACTCAGACGTCTATGGCATCACTAGGCAATGCAGTCTTATGGGAACATGGTTCTATATCTCATTAACCACGATGTTATATATGGTTAATGACTGTAGATGCCTCACAACTAAGACAGCAAAGTGGACATTATTGCTCTTTTAAGTAAGAACTGTCAGTATTTACTGTCATCCTGACTCTGTCTGATAGAATTTTTATCTAATTAACAAGTGCTGTTAATTGAACATCAAGGAAAACTCAATGAAAAAGAAAGACCAGTCTTTCCACTTATGGATTTTACAACTATGTGGGAAGGGAAATAACGCCCTTCCTTGAAACACTTAATCCAGGTACTGGAAATTTATAGCAATGTGAAATCCGTATTTACATTTTAATGTCTATTTAAAATTATAATTGTTTTTCATTACAAAAGGTGCATTAAGATCTTAATTTGAAATAGTTATATGCTAATTACATAGAAAGTAAATACAGTTTCTGCGTAAGAAGTATCAGGTTAATGAAAAAGAAAATGTAGTCTAGAAGCCTTCATGATACCATTCACTACAGAAAATATATGCAGAATATACAAATTAATAGGCTATCAATAGTAAAATATGAAACAACAAATAGTACAGTTTCTAGAAAGGCAACAGAAAATAGTTTGATCTTTAAGCAGTGACATTTAAATTATTAAAGGTAATAAGTACACAGTCAACTTTATATATTAACAATCAGAGATTAACTTTACAATATTTTATGTCAGTTTAAACTGTGAACAAATGATCAGGTAATATACAAGTCTTCATTCTTCACAAATGCATACTGTCTTAATGTACTAACAATATTGTCATCCTGGAATTATGTCAAAATAAAATTAAGAAACGTTCAGCCTCGAATACTGTTCGTGTTCCGCTGTGAAGACAAAGCTGGGTCCTAGAAGTGGCCAGTCACTTCTGTGGCGTAACGCAGTGGAGGATCTTAAACAATGGCTGCTGGTGGAGCCTCAGTTCCACGTACGCATTAAGAGTCCCATGCTCACAGTGCAATGAGACTGAGTCTTTAAAATGACGTTTCCAGCGTTATCCCCAGGCTAGCTGAAGAGGGGAAAGGAAACGCCTCCTACGGTAGAGCTTAAAAGCTTCAGGCTTAGAAAGGTGCATATCACTCTCACCGGGTTCGATCACACTTAAGATGATTGGGACCACCACCTAAGGAGGTCACTAGGTTGGGAGCCACCTTCCACCTAGTAAAGATTTAAATGGAAATGATGAGATTCCCATTAAAGCTTGCTGACTCAGTCACATCCATGGGGTAGAATCTAATAATTTTTTAACTTATCTTTTCCACTTAGCAACTTTGAAAGTAATGCTTGCATGCATATCCTTTTAGTCAAAAATAGCTTCATGATTTATTTCAAGCAACAGAGGAAACCAGAAAAAAATTGCTTAATACATCTGTTACAATGTTATAACACACATGCCGAAACAAATATAAGTTGATACATACACATTTACCTAGTTTTGTGCAATGTCAGTATCTATTTTTTAATATGTTACATTGCTATGATCCTTTTGGCCTTGTTTGCTTTTCTAGAACATGGCCTTTTCATCCTATCCTTTTGGAAGATAAATTGGCAAAAGGGACTGTGAGTAATATTATTAAGATTTATATCAAAATATTTAATGGTTTTCTTGGAATTATAAGTGTGCTCCAGTTTCCTATGTTTTAACAGGCCTCAGCTGCAATGAGACAAAGCCTGAGATACCGACTGGCCATTTCAATTCATTAGTCACACTGCACTTTATTCTGTTAAGCCCATCTGGTCACTTGCATTGGAACCTCCCATGCCTGTCTCTATAAAATCTAAAGCTACCCAATTTACCCTTGCATAAATAGCCATGAAATCTATAAACCTAGTAGATACAAAGGATGAATTAAGAACGAAAAAGAATAGGTCTGCCTAGTGAATGTTGAGAGGCTCAAATGCTATTAGGACAACTGGAGATAAAAGGATCCGGGAAATGAAATAAAACTTTCAGTCAACAAACAGTTGAAAGCAGGTGACTGCTTGTTAAAAAATGGGGTTTTTCAGCTTGTGAAAATAGAGTTTTTCAGCCTGGACCCTCTGTAGAATGACATTAGGAGTTTTGTTCAAGGAAAAGGTGCATGTCGAGCATGCACACACATACACACACCCACACATATATATACACATGCATATGCGCACACACACACACACACACACACACACACACACACACACACACACGCAGCCTGAAGAGCAATTTAGACATTTCATGTGGAGAGAAGGGCTGTATTTCTAAGGCAGTCTCAATAGACACTGAAAGCTATTTATTTTTTTCTACCAATTGTCTTGTTGAGAGGCAATACAATTTAATAAGCAATATTCAAGTTAAGAAATACTATGTGTATAGAATTAGTGTGTTGATTATTTTTCTAGAAAAAAAATTGGAACTGAAGACTGTTCCTATTTTAAAGCAAATTGTATTAACAGAATTCCTGTGTGTCTCTTTGATTTGGGTCTGTGTTCTTTTTCTATGGAGTGAGTGTAAACCAGACCTCCCTTGACAGGACTCCAAGAATCTCCTCATGGGTTGTGGCTTATATACCTAAATGTCTATCCCATGAGCTGCTGTCCCTGTCACAGAGAACTTAGATTGACTGGCACATGCCCTGGAATTCTTATGTAATTTGCCTACAAAGCCCGTCCCTAGGACACCTTTGACCAGGTTGAATGAGGGCTAGGTATATGTGTCTCCAAGGAGACATGGAGGAGGCAATGGGACCAAAGATATGACATAACAGAGGCAGTTTACTCCCAGATCCTCAAGGAATGGCATTACAGACAAGACTCAATGGGGCAGAGGAGCAACTCATTCGCCCTGCAGGAATGAATCTAAAAAGAGGACCTGTAGAGGGGTGTCGTTATTGGTGTTTAGAAATTTCCTGTAGGGCATTCAATTGTTCCGAGAGGAAACAGTGATGGCTCAATAGTCTTGCCTCATTGCTGTCACTACTGTACATGTGTACAATTAAAGACAGTGAGTGGAGTCAGTGAAGTAGGCGGAACTGCTGTGTCCCAAGCTGGTTATGAGGAGGCAAGAGTATCAGAGGCACATCTGCGTTGACCATACGGAGATACTGGGAGATACCGGAAGGACAGATCTGCAGAGTTGGCTCTGTGCTTTCAGTGCCAAGTGTGAGGATCCAGATTGGAGTCCCTGGTACCCATGTAAAGATGGGGCATGATGGTGCACTTTGAAAATCCCAGCACTAGAAAGGCAGAGGAGAGCAGGCGCCTGGAGCTTGCTGGCAACAAGACTAGCTGAAATAGTGAGCGCTATAGTTGGTGAAAGATCCTGAAGTGGAAAGCAATCCAGGAAAACATTCAATGCTGAATTCTGTCCTTTACGTGTATCTATCCACATCACATCACACACAGTTACATTTGCACACAAATGCATGCATACATGCACACATACAGTCTTATAAAAGCTGAAATGTGTTGCTAGAAGGTGGATCTGACTTTCTTATGACATAAAAAAAGGACTAAATCAACTCCATGGTTCTTTGCTGTTCTGTTCGCTGCTAATGGGTTTAGGACAAGAGGGAACCATTCCCTTTCACCAGGTGCCCATTGATGGCTGTTCCTGACTCCATAATTCCTGCATAATTCCAATCCAGTGGTCATAAATACAATCCAATGGCCCTGGTTACATTAAGTGGGTCACAAAACAAAACCATAAGACATAAATCTGAGAAAGAAAGTGGTAGCAGTGAGGGAAGCTGATAGGAATGGGAATGAGATAAACTAGGGTAGGGAGAGAGAGTGATCAAAATATGCTTCATGTATCAAATAACAAAAGTAGTCAATAAAAAGGAAAAGATAGATCCAAACCAACAAAAAAACTACAGAAATGCAGGGCAGCAATGTTCTTTGATCAAATGATTTATTAAGAGCAAGAAAGCACCAACCATCCTAAAATGAGTTCTTGTTTTACCAAATGCTGTGTGGGAATAACATTAAAACTACCGCCACTGGTGGGGATTCAGCTAGCTAGGCAGGTTTATTACTGGGCATCACTCAGGGTCAACATATGAGCTGCCTTGATGATGGAGCAACAGCCTCAGTTTCCCTCAAAGAGTCTACAGGAAGCTCTGTGGGACCTGAACTAAAAATTGCAGGTTTCAGAGACATCTCCATAGGCTTAAGACAAATGTAAAATGAGTAAATTTTACTACCCATATATTTCATCAATTTTTAATTTTTGAATCAAAATGTCTACTTGAAAATATGAGTCTTTTTGGCTATTCATAACATTTGATGATTCTTTTTACATATTTAATACTCTTTTCTTATATCTAATATGACCATCATTATTATTTTAAAAGAAAGATTATTCACGGTTCTTGCAATGCTAATTTTTATAGTGTTTTAAGTGGACTTCAGTCTTATAATTCTTTCTGAATATAGGCTCAAAGCATGTGTTAATAAGATAGGTAAGAATCCTGCAAAATAGTTGTGGGAAGAGAGCAAGCACACTTTTGTTTTTAAGTATCTACTTACAGAAGAAGTAAAATTTCAGTTCCAGGCCCCTGTCCACTCCCTGCCGCACACACCATTTTTAAGAAAGAGTTTCACTATGTAACCCAAGCTGGCCTGGGAATCTCTGTAGACTGGGCTGGTCTCAGTCTCATAAAAATCCACCTGCCTCTGCCTCGTGTGTGCAGGATGCCTGACCCATTTCTACCATTTTTGAAGCAAGTATTTGAGGATTTCTACAGAAGCGTGAGAAAATTTTTTCCCATATTTACTTCTTCAACAACCCTTGTTTATAGGAATACATTAAGTTATTCCATATTTTAGGGGTATTTTGGTCTCTCTAGTTAGTTTTATCCTATAAAACCTATTCTATATACCCATGGATAGTTTTCTGAAATAAAGAGGCAGTGAGCATTTATCTTCAACTATAGTCTCATAAAAGTATGACATACTTGTTTTGAATTAAAATCAGAGGAAAAAAAATTCCTGAAAATCTCACGAATTTCCCTGTGATTGCTGAGGCAAAATGGAAATCATGGTTCAGTTATTAACAAGATGAAACAAGAGCTTTGTAGGCTATCTACGTGTGCAGTGTTGTTGCGTTGACCCGCATTAACTAGGAGATGGCCTTTCAGATTCTCATGGAAACCCCGTGTCTCCCGAGGACCAAGTGAGCCTTGCCCAGCAGATCTCAGATGTGGTGAAGCAGCCGGCTTTCATTGCGGGCATCGGGGCAGCCTGTTGGATTATCCTCATGGTCTTCAGCATCTGGCTTTACAGGCACCGCAAGAAGAGGAACGGGCTCAGCAGCACATACGCAGGCATAAGGAAAGGTGTGCCGGCCATAGAACCATTTATCTTAAACTGATAGGATGTTATTCATGTCACACGGCCATCATTAAATGCCTTTAACACCAGAAGGTTTTCAATGGTGCTGTCATTTCTCCACACTGCCCACACAGGAACTTGCCTGAGTAACAGCAGGACAGCGAATAGACTTCTGCCAGCCACTCAGACCCACTTCCTAGGTTTCTTTAAGGTCTAGACATCGCCCTAAAAATCTCAGGCAGATAGTTTATTTCATGCTTCTATGGGAAACTGGAAATCACCTATCACAAGAATTAGCAATTCAGGCTTTAAATTTAGAATTATTGTTGGTTGATGGTACTTTAGGTTTTGCTTTGTTTTAGCTTTGTTCTTCCGGATTAGCATTTGCTGCCATTTATAACAGGTGCCCTTAGTGGATAGGAATGATGGCTGTGTGAGATGCTTTATGTAGCAAACTGGAGAGGTTTATTTGCCATTCACAGATTTAACATTGTGGAGCTGAATATTTATATGCGCTCAGCTAATAATTTTGTTACAGTATCTGCTTGTTACAGTGTCTGCTCAGGTTTAGAAATCACTGTTTGCTTGTTGTAATTCAATGCCCTGAGGATGGTCTACATCTGCTGAGAGGGTCACACATATCTTTGCAACACACCCCTCAGGTCTTGGAGCCCCTGTGTGGTGGTCCTTACCACCTCTCCATTCCCATGCATTCATTAACTGCGCGCCACAATAGGTCAGCTGCAAGTCACAGTGCTTAGTGGAAGGCCTCTTTTTCTGTCCTTATTTATAACGCTCCTTTTTGTTCTCAAAATTATCATGATTTGAATGGTAACATTATGATTCACTCTAGGAATAGGGCCCGTACATGAGCCTGTGATAAGAGATCTACATTGCCGCAATGCAGGTTTTGTAAAGATTGCTAATAAGGATGTCCCTTGCCCAACCATTGCCTCTTTTTTCTGATTGTGCACATGTCTCCTAAGCAAACACTTTATACATGTCCTGGCAAAGAACTCTCTCTGCCTGATCATGTGGCTGAGTGAGTATTGTTGATGCTAGGTGGAACTCAAATGCCCTATACATTTAGGCAGAAATCTAGGTCAGCACTCCACAGTGTGCTCTTGCTTACAGGAGATCTTGACAGAAGGATTGAGCCAGACTGTCATCAGTTCTGTGGAAAATAATCCATCCCTGACTGGCTCTGCAGCCTCCTCTCCCTATGTAAATCTCCACAGGCATACTCATCAGTCCTTTTTATTTATTTATTTTAGACATGTGTTCTGTCAGTGGCCCTGCCTGTGAAATAGCAAAGGGCTTAGGGCCACTGAAAAGAGAGTGTGGCTCATTATGTGGAACAATACCAGGCAGTTTGACCTATGAACCTTTGGCTCCAGATCAATGCAGGGAAGGGGTTTTGGGGTGCAGTTGGGGAAGGAACAGGATGCCCTTGGAGTCTGTCTTTGAAATGTGATTTGAGTTAGGAAACATGATGTAGTAATGTTTAAATTCGGGGTTCCTTGTATTTTCTGGTTGAGGGAATCTCCACCAACAACTCGATTGAGTAGGCATCCAGTCCCTGGGCTCTGGCATTTCCTGTCACAGAGGCTTGTCTTAGCTGTGTAATTGTAGCAGGTTAATGCTCTCTATTGTCTAAAGAGGTGATACAAAACTCTCCTTGCTCTCTACAGTATTCCTTCCCTTCACTAATGTCCTTTGAGCATGCCAGTAAACACCTACGTGCATTCCCCAGTACTATCCAACTAATACCATTGTCTTTTCAATTAGCTTCTGTTGAAGCAGAAATCATGGAACATAATTACAAATGTAGTTTTGCGAGCCCTTGATTCTGCTCTTGTCACTTTGGCGATTTTTTTCCCTTTTTTGAAGTATGTTGTGTTACTTTAAATTTCCTATGCCAAAAACTAATGATTTTTTTTTTACAATTTACTCCTTATATATCCCAATTGTAGCCCCCTCCCTCAACTCCTCCCAGTCCCACCCTCTCTCCCCTTTACCTCCCCATCCCCTTCCTCTTGTCCACTGGAAGGGGGAGTTCCTCTTCTGCCATTTGCACATAGCATATCAGGTTTCGTCAGAAATGCCTGGATCCTCTTCCTCTGTGGCCTGGCAAGGCTGCATCACCAGGAGCCAGTGATCAAAGACCATGACAGAGGCAGCCCCTTCTCTCCTCACTCGGAGATCCACAGGGAGACTGAGCTGCCAATCGGTTACATCTGAGCAGGGGTCTAGGTCCTCTCCATGCATGATGCATCAGTCTCTGTAGGACCCCCTGGGCTCAAATCCTTTAGCTTTGTTGGTCTTCTTGTGGGCCTCCTGTCCCCTCCATGTTCCTCTAACCCCTCCTATCCCCCTTTCATCTATAAGACTCCCTGCACTCTGCCCAAAGTATGGCCTCGAATCTCAGCATCTGCTTCAAACCCCTGTTGGGTAAATCCTTTCAGAGGACTCACTTCTATTGTAGGCTCCCATCCTGTTCCCTCTCTTCCACCGCTTCTGGTGTCTATCCTGTTTGCCATTCTGAATAAGCCTTAAGCATCCTCCCTAAGATCCTCCTTAGTGTTCAGCCTCTTTAGGTCTGTAGATGGCTGTCCAATATTATACGGATGCCAGTGGTTTCAATAAAAGAAGCTGTGGCATATTTTACAGAAATCAGTGCAAAGTGCGCATTTGTGTATACAATGGTAAGCCAGGGTGCGACTCTGGATCCTAGTGAGGATTTTTGGTATGGTCTCACTGCATTTCACTGAAGGTGTGATATGTAGGAATCCTGCATACCCATCTATATCCATCCACACAGATCTCCAACATCAGTGAGCACACTGAGTGTTAAATGTGTTATTGGAAGATTTGAGAAAAAAATTGGGTTTCAGTGGATAAAAATTCCACTTATTACTACCCTTTCTTTATTTGTCCTTTATCTTCACAAATTAGGACTAGAAGTGCCTACACTGGTCTTTTCTATTTCCCCATGTCCTTGTAATCGCAAATTAATGTTCAGGCACTCCATTCTTGCTTGAATAGCTTTGGTTTCAAATGCACCTCTTTTTTGTGTGTTATGAGGACTTGTCACTATGGGAGTTTTTTAATGTGGCTAAATTATATTGACTTTGAAAAGATCTGAGTGAAAAAACCACAATAGAATCCTTAAGGTGGGTCTGCTGTGCTACATATGAAGGCCAGTGGATAAACTGAGAGAGCATTGAGGGTTCTGTTGTTGCTCTCTCTAGTATAAGAAGTGAAGAGGCTACAGGCTTCCAGCATGTTCCCGTCAAAGCTCTGATCCTAACATCAATTTGCTATTAATGTATGAATGAAAAATATACTTCAGCTTTTTGATACATGTTAAAATAATCAACATTCCAGTTTATTTGCCCTAAAGGTTTGTGGGAAGCAAGTTTTAAACTGAAAGGAAGGAATGGGGTTTTCCTCCTTTCTTTATTAGGGCTGCATTTACTTTAAATTGAAGGGAAGAGATTGGAAAATCATTCAGTCTCCTCCCTCTATGAAATGACATGGAAATTGCTATGCTGCTAGTCCACAGCCAGCAATGGGAGATGATGGGGAGAGTGGGGGAGGCCAGACAGCGACTTTTGAGGTCTGCAGTTCAATTTCAGGCATTATTGATTAGATTAAGATTTATCACTGCAGAGAGAGGGAAGGTTCTCAGAGGGGTCTTATTGTTCTTTTGTTCAGCTTCCAGGATGGTGTTTAAAAAAAAAAATGTTCTGTCTACTCCTAGAAAGCTTCTAAATGCAAACTATGGCAGAGAAATTGGAGTTTTAGCTCCACAACTTTTCCTATTCATTCAAAAATTGTTATGGTGATAACAGAAAAAACATGTTACTCTGTTTCTGTGATGCCAGACATTTCTTATCAGTAAAGCTGTATGAGTTTATGATTCTCTCCCCTCCCTCCTTTGCCCCTCTGCCTCCTTCTCTCCATCCTCCTTCTCCTCCTTCCTTCCTCCCTCTCTCTCTCTCTCTCTCTCCCTACCTCCCTTCCAATAAAGCACACTCCACTGCACCTATCATTCCACTTAATAAGCATTTACTCTCAGATGTCTAGATAAGGTTCCAGCACAACCCTGATAATACTTGTTTAAGAATCCATCACCCAGTGTTTGGAAATGATTAATAGCAGAGGATTCCTGTCTGTACTAAAGCCGTGGGCAGACTGTACGTTACTAAATGCAGGTCATTCGCAGGCTAACCCAGACAGTCCTCCTCCTGAGAGTACGAGCATGTCAGACACTTCAGAACAGTACCTGTAGAGACAAGCTTCCTTTTTTTAGACTTCAGATTTGTGCTGTTCATATATCAGAGTGTCAGACCTACTGGCTTGGTTATTTACATTTGTTTTATGTTCAGCTGTCTGCTTGATTTATACTAATGTGATATGTTCCCCTTCTCTCTTCAGCTTAATAACTAGTTTATATTTTGTTTTGATTTTTCAGTCCCGTCCTTTACCTTCACACCAACAGGTACCTATTTGCACTTACCCTCTTCCTTCTGTGTGTTAGTGTGGCATGTGTCGTGCTGTTGTGCTTCTGGTTTTAGCTCATTCTGAATGGAAACTTCGGGAAAAGACTTATGGAGTAGAATGCAGATTTCTTTTACTCATGCCGGGCATGCAGTTGAAGTAGAAATGGTTGGTGGTGCTTTGCATCTACTTGACGCAGTGACACGTTTTGCATGGCACGCTGCATCTTAGCCTTGTGTGTGTGCATGTATCCCTGTTAAACGAGCACACTTTTTCTACCCTCAGCATGATTTAACACGCTAATCAGTTCACACGAGGCAGCGCAACTTTCTCCCCTTGACTTAAACTTTCAAGTTTTCCAACAGCAGAATAATTTCTCTCCTTTGGAAGTCTCTGTCCATAGAATTAGTATTCTCAGAGGCACCCCAAAATATCCGTCCCACATGAGAGATAAAACTTCAATTCCAACAAGTCAGAGTCTTCATCTAGTTTCCACTCAGTGTCTTTCAGAATGGATCCCTCTCTCACATCACCTCCAGTCAGAGATGTCCCCAAAGCTATGTGTCCTCAGTTTTAATCCAGTTATTGGGATCACTGGGCACAGTTATCTCTCCCCAACAGACTTCCAGTTTAGAGTTTTCCTAAGTAGCGGAAACTTGGCAGCTTTTAAAAACACATTTCTTCTTAGAAAATGTGTCTGTATTTACAGGAAAGCTAATCTTCTTAACTCCACGTTGAACTAGTTATAAATCTGTTTTTTGTTCTGGCCAAAATAAAATGTATTAATCCTTACAAGATATAAGAATATTCTTTTTTATTCATGTCTGATGGAGATATAGTATCTGATACAAATATAATGTGAAATGGTTTTCACAACCACATATAAAATAGGTCACATTAATTGTTATAACTTGGTACAAGTCTCTCTATGTGGAAAAAGGATTTTTTTGTTTGTTTGTTTGTTTTTTGAGCATGTGCCTTTGCTTTACTTCTGAGCCTTCTTCTGGGAAGACAATCTGGCAGCATTTCTTTTCCTTTGACTTTAAAATTATACATACAGAAACCATAGAATCATGTGATCCAGTGAGAAAGTCTAAACAAATCCTTAAGAGTGCTAATGTACACATGCAAATGAGTTGTGCTTAATAACATTGTACTGAAGTTTTTAATTTTGCTTTTTGTGATCATATTGAGACACCAAGAAATTTTAAAATTTATATATAGTTAGTCTGAAAAGCATCTTCTATAATATTCCAGGATGGAGCAAAAATCTGCCACATCTTGCGGTGGTTTTTACAAAGCTTCTAGGTAGGAAGGGTGGTTGAATGACGTTTTAGAAAGATGTTCGTGTATGTAATGGTTCCTGCTTTATAAACATGTCTACTAATTGTTCTCTCTCTCTCTCTTTTGTAATATTCTAGTAACTTATCAAAGAGGAGGCGAAGCTGTCAGCAGTGGAGGGAGGTAATTATACTACTTGCTTTTTAGATCCGAGGGGGTATTCCAATTCTTTCTTGTCTTTGACATTGCTTCTTTTGTTAAAAGGTTAAACTTCCGTGTGAAATTTGTTCAAAGACTTTGAAGAGATCTCTCCCTTCAGCTGTACTTTTTAAACCAAGGGATTTACAATTGTTGATATGAATGGTTGCATTTTAGTCCTTGACCACGAGAGGGAGCAATTGACTCAAGAAAAACAGACTTGCTGATTTAGCAGATGATTAAAAGGAGTTAAACTGATTAAGCTGCGGCACTTTCAAAGATTAAGAAATATAGCTGGTTAACAGACACTATCAAATAAAGGTGTTCACTCTAAAACCTGCTGAATGCAGCAGTTGCTCCAAAGCTGTGGGTGATGTTTGTTCTTGGCAGGAATTTAGCAGAGTGCACATCTTCACATGCAGGAAATACATTTGAAGGAAGAAATCTAGGTATCTTGTTAACAAAGAGATTTTTCACCTCTAATTAAAATGAACCTCAATCCCCACATTTATGGGTTTTTTGGTGATTATTATTCAGTGAGTTGTAATATATTCACAGAGAAATCACAGATTGAGGTGGCAGAGAGCTTAAAGGGTCTGAAACAGGGGTATAAGTCACAGGCTTAAGGATTTTCCACAATAAGTTAATTTTTCCCCCACCCTCTTAAAAATCCAGTAACATCAAGGTGATGAGAAAAAAGGAAAATTTAAAAAACAAACAAACAAAAAAAACTTCCAGCAAAAACTGTTCTATGATTCAAATTTGTTAACTTACTGAGTGCCTTTTCATGTATACTTTAACAATGGGTTTAGCTACCAGGCAGTGAATAATGAATCCGTTGTTACTGCTGAATCTGAGGAGCATCTGCTTCGAACATTACTGAACTTGTTGTATGACAAAGGGCGGTTTGAAAGAAGAAGGTTGCCTCCCTCTAGCCACGACTTTGCAAATGTGGCAAGAGGCACTAATATCTTCATTCCTGGGTAGATTAACTTCTTGTTTTCATACCTGTGTGTAACAAAGCCAGCCTCCAAAACACTCCCAAAGCTAGGAAGTATGCATAAAAAAAGAAATCCCCTCCTTTTGACAATTAAACCACAGCATGTTTTTTCGTTCTGGGGAATTCCATGTAAGTCACAGCCCAGGCATTCATGAATGAGCCTCTGGCATAGGAACATTTCCTCCGAGGTAAATCTGGAATGCCTGATTAGTTAGCCACCACCTTTTGTGTCTATACTTAAGACTAGACTTCTGTTTTCATGTCCTCTATGCATGGACATGTGTACACATGCTCACACACATGCATAGAAAGAAAGTGTAAGCCTCATTTATTTGCTACAGCATTTACAACCTATAGAAACAAAATTTTCATGTAGGGGACAATATGTAAGTAGCATTAAATGGTTCCATTGTGGGTGAAAAACTGCAAAGTTCCTAAACTCTCTATTTGAAAATTTACTAGCAATGAAGACATTAACTCTTTAAATTTAAAAGCAGATGTCTGGCAGTGACGTCTACTTATTTTCCAATACTCAGTAGAAATCAGTGTTTTCCCCAGCGTAATGATGAAAGGTGCAGGATTTCAAGAGGCAACAGTCAAATGAAGATTTCAGAGTTCTAGCTCAGAATGACTCTGTTGTTGTTTGGTTTCTACATGATTTTAAACATACTGATTCACTAACTAGAATAAACCTCTACTATGTAACAGCCACTGCATAAAATCCCCTCCCTGGATTTTACAATATAGTGAGAAAGACAGGATAAATTTTATGGAAGATGGAAGGGTCTACTATATTGTAGTAGGAGTTGCTCATCGTTTTGGGGAAAGTAAAATAGAATAAGAAAAATAGTCCATAGGGAAGCAGCTGCATTCCTAGCCATGGATGGCTGTGCGGTGTCCATGCCTGTGTATGCACAGCTGTGCATGTGTATGTTTGTATGTTGTATATTGGTGGGGCAGAGAATGCATAGTGCATCAAATTTCTCTGCTGAGTCCTCTTTGTCCATCCCTTCAGCCCTGGTTTTCTTCATACACCTCAGGTTCTGGGCCTTTGATGGATCTGACACACCACTAGGTTAATGACACCTTAGCCTTAGCCAAAATCTTTGAGCCGGATGTTTCCACCTCCTGTATCCATGAGTGTGTGTGTTGAGCATCTCCTACCCTTCTCGCTGTCACTAATGTTTGTCTGCAAACCCTATTTTTCCCTTGCCTAATCTGGGAGAAAACACTGGCTGTCCCAACTTCATCTAGTTTTATTAAAACTAGTCTTGCTGGTTCTCTGCCAGTTTAGACAAGAATGACCTTTGGGCTGTGTATTAATCCTGTCTGCAATACTGAAAGAACTGATATCAGTCGCACCCTGGAGCCAAGGACAACATGCCAACCCACAGAACCCTGAAATACCACGTTAGCTAGCCCATGTTACATTGTCTTCACTCTACCCTGGATCATGACATTGCACAGTTTGTAAGGTTGGTCTAAAGATGCTTTTCTACCTCCCATCCTTTGTCAGTTTATCAGTCTCAGTTTTGATAGCTTCCAGTGAAATATGTACCATGGAACTACCTCAATTAAGCATGAAGTAAATCATTTATCTTAAAAAGAAAAAAAAAATCCAGTGTCCCTGAATTGTAGCTCTTAGACCAAATCCAATCTGCTGAGGCTGGAGAGATGGACCAGTGGTTAAGAACTCACAGAGGATCTAAGTTGTGTTCACAGCATTCACGTCAGGTGGTGTACAGCTGCTTGTAGCTCTAGCTCCAGGGGATCAGACACACTCTTCTGGGTTCTAAGGTGCTCTGCACATACTCACAGAGAGATGCAAACATACACATGTGACTATCAAGTCAAGATTTTTTAAGTGCATTTTTCCCATGCTGTCCATGGCTGCTTCTTAGTTAGTGACAGAACTGAGTGGTGACAACAGAAACTACCAAGCACAGAAAGCCTTCCATGGTTACTGTTTAAACGTTGACAAGAAGAGCTTATTAACCCTCGCCCCGTCTGACTACAGTGACCATAAAACATAAAATCCTAGTCGACAGTGGACACACAGTTCGTGATTAATATATGAGTTGCATTTGAGTACACATATTGAGGGTCGGGGGCGTGTGTACACAGGTGTGCATTGCCTGTGGAGGCCAAAGCTTACCCTCTGCTGTCCTTCCATCACTTGCCAGAAACTCACCCTTTAGGCTAGGCTGGCTGGCCTGTGGGCCCCAGAGAGCCAACTATCTCCACCTCCCCAGAGCTGGATAAAAAGCTTTTTACGTTGATTCTGGGGGTTGAACTTAGATCCTTAGGCTTGTGCAACACCTTACTGACTGATTTCTCTTCCCCGTCGAATCAATGAAATTTTATTATGGAGTCGAGCTGACTTATTAGATGACATCAGTAAGGTCGGTGATTGTACTTCAATGATGTCATTGATAGCCTAAGAAAAGGATGAATGGCTTGATAAGTAAATGCATGCCGAAGGCCCCCATTTTGTCTTCGATTGTTTTAAAGAGTTTTGGGGGACCGGATCTTTTTTCCAATTTGTAACATAAAAGGGAATGGAAAGATCTTAGAGTTGCTCACAGGGCAGATTTAGTTATCCTGTAGGGAAGAATGAGCATCCTGGTTCTACCAAGAGACCTGCTCCCAACACGCAAAGCACAAAGAGAGTGTGGTGATCCAGGCAGAGCACAGGAATATTAAATAGCTGCTCTTGCTCATTTGTTTCTCATGCCTCAAACATTCCAGTTGCCTCTTCCAAGAAAGCCTACTAAAATTCCAAACCACAGCCTGAACCAGGAAAAACTAAGGAAACCTGAAGGAGGGTGTGCGAAGGTCAGCCTTGCCTGGTGAAGACTGCCAGTACCACATTTCCTGCCGTGGGAGAACAGGCAGAAGTGGATAAAACCCACATCTTGCGTCTCTTAAAAACGTTGGCAACTCAGAGATGTATCCAGGGCTTTGAAACTCATTCACCCAGTCAGCGGGGAAAGGACACAGGCGATAGGTTGGCAGCCTTCACTGCTGGGATTCCGCATAATTTTTCCACAGCTCCCAGACTCTGTGGCATTAATGCTGTGGTTTATCAATTCAAGTAAGTGTTCTTGGAATGAGAGATAGGAATATCTGAAGCAATGGAAAAGGAAGAACTGGAGGCAATTGGCATGTAATGTTTGGAGCACAGTTGGGTTTTTTGTTGTTATTTGTTTCTTTTTGTTTGTTTGCCACGACTCAAAGGGATACTGTTAATATATGAATATTTTGCAGTCGTGTAAAGTTATTTTAAATATGTGTAAGCCAGTGGTTCCTATATGCTTTGCTTCTGCTGGGCAGCTAGACTTGCACATCAGATCCATAAGCTTAACTGTATAAACATAACCCTCAGAATTGTTGCTTGCAAAAGACAGTGACACCTTTATCAGAATAGCTGTGCCTCCCCTTGCCTTCTCCCAAGACCTTTGTAATACACACCTGGCACTTTAAGCTTCATTGTGGGACAAGAGTCGTGTTTTACCTTCTCCCTGAGAATAATTTTCATTCCAAACTCAAGTCTAAACAGAAGCCCGACAGAGTGTGATTGTTGATCTTCCTTCCTGCTGGAAACCACCGCTCTATATGAGAAGTTCTCTAAGCTCCTGATGATATCAAAGCACTCACCATAAACGTGTTTTCAAGGGAATCACAGTAGCATAAAAACACTGTCTGTTCCTTTTGAAACATTCAAGTCAGTCTGGGAATTTTCCACTTGACCTATGCTTCATACATACCATAGTCCTCTGCAGTGCCAAATGCAAGGGTTTTATTCTTAATAACTTCAACAGTGAAAACACTCCAGGTTTAAGTTCAGGGGAAATAAAACAAGAAAGCGAAACATGACTAATGTAGATTTTTCTACATCTATTCAAACCCCAAATATCCATGCCACAAGCCTCTGTTTAAATGTTTAAAATTTCAACAGTCCGGCGACAGTGCTCTTCAAAGTATGTTTCTATCAACACTTTTAATAATTAAACAGCCCAATTTAACAGCCTTCTCGAGACTATAAAGCATGTTTTTCATTTTTCCAGTTACTGCATGTATGAGAACATCAGAGAAGTCCCACAAGTTTCTGTATCTGTTTATAACACACCACATCAGAGTGTGAACAAAGGGCTCACTGCGTATGTCTGAACCTCAGCTCGGCTACTCACTGTGCACACAAGTACCTCAACCGCTGTTCTAGTTTTTGGTTTTGTTTTTTGATTTTGGTTTTTTTGTTTGTTTGTTTGTTTGTTTGGTTGTTTTTTTTTTTCTGAAAAATTTGGATGCTAGCAGTCTGAAACTGTAAACTGGTGATGATTGAATAGGTAATTACATTAAAGGAACTCAGAACAATGCTTCACCCGTTATAAGCAGGGAGCAAATATTCATTTTAGCTGAGTAAGTATATACTCCCATGTGGGCACGGCTATAAGAATTATCTGTCCATGCTTTCCCTGTGAAATGAATTAGCCCTCAAATAACTGTCATTTGCATAACAAGTTACATACCTTTAGCAACACAAATTACCCAAATGAAGAAAAGACACGGAGAGAGAATATGAAGTCTGTGCTACCCAGCTAAGTGAAAAGTATGGTTGTTATAATTTGGCAATTTAAACAAAACGGTGGCATAGGCTATGGTGCCAGTCTGTTCTGTGGTGGGTTGCAGAACACCTTCTGCCCTTCATTACTTGTGCTGAGTTTTCAGGTGGAGCCCACGTTGAAAAAGCACACGGACTGCAGCTCGATTCCCTGCCACCTGCAGACTCGGTCACCCATTAATTACTGCACACACTCTGCCTCCACAAAGGAAAGAGGATTAGCATCAGTTGTGGAGAGAGGGGGCACTAGTCTTTCTTTTATTTAACATCTTTGTTTCCTGGGATTTCATTCACTAGCTTTCGATTGTGCAGGACTTGGGATGTGTTTAGCTATATCATCTCCCTAAGCTTATCCAGCAGCACACTGATACTCTGATAGACCACTGCACAAGATGCCATGGAGTCACTAGGACATTGAGGAAAAAGATGAACGCATGCTTTATAAGAAGGCTCTGTTTGTTTTGTAAATAAGCACGTTTTTCTTCATAATGAAGCAATTTTAATGGATCAAAAATTTTAATGGATCAAGTTGGGCAAGTGGCCCAACCTCCAAGACTCAAAATTGTGCAGTGATAATTTCAGATTCTGTGTTTGATTTTTTTTTAATCACCATGACAAAAAGTGAGGTGAAATCTTTAATGTAGGCAATAAAGATTTGAACTCTGAAACACAACTCTACAGATTTATAGCTCTGTCCACAGAGATACCTTCTAGAACATTATATCACAGTTGCCTGACTGTAAAGTAAAATGCACCATGAGCTCATTCAGTGTGGCTCACCAAATTGCGATAAGATTAATCAAATCAAATGTGTACTGGAATTCAGAATAGGAATTGTTTTCTATCCCTACAATACTCACTTTTCTTTACTGTTTTCCTCTAGGCCAGGACTTCTCAACATTAGTGAACCTGCCGCACAACCATGGCTGGCCGACACGTGGCCCAACACAGGCAACAATCACAATGACTGCTCCATCAACTGCTGCACAGCAGGCAATGGGAACAGCGACAGCAACCTGACAACCTACAGCCGCCCAGGTTAGGGGCACAGCTAGCGCTGAAAATAGATCAGCCCTACCAAGCTATTATCCAGAAAAGGCCATGTGTCCTTCCTGAATGAGAAAGAAACTGGCCAACAATTTTAGGCAATCATGAATGTGTAGCAAACTAGCCTGGTCAAGTATTTTCCATCCCTGAACAGAACATACAAATTATAGAATAAAGGAAAATGAAATTATGAACAAGTCAGAGTATTTATAATTCTAATTTTTATTATGACTGTTTAAAGACTGGTAAACCTGTAAAGAAAACCAGATTTGTTTTTAGTGATATCACCTATAGTGATAAAAAAAAAAAAAAACTTTTTGATGAAAATGAACTAAGTCTTTACATCAGAATTCACAATAGAAAAACAAATTCTGAGGCCACAAAGATCCCCCTGGTGTATGACAAAAAGCCCACAGCAGCAGCATTGTCTGCCTGCATTAGTAGTGTATTGTAGAAACTAAAACATCAGAGTAGAAATGTGGAATTTTCCAGCTAGAGAAGGAGTGTTAAAATTGCTTCTCAAGAAAACAAAAGAAGAAAGTCCCAATATTCACAAATTTTGAAACTAAAATAATTGTAAAGAGCCAAAAAGTGTGACTATGGAAGTAGAAAAGTGCATATGCATAAGAAAGGGAGACCGAGAAGGTGGGCTGTAGGCGAGTGTGTTTTAAATTGTGAGAAAAATCAAACAGTAATCGCTGTGACCATCCTCACAAATAATCCTGGGTCTCATTCACTGAATGTAGATGTTACTTATCCATGTGACAAGTCTGTGTCCTCCGAGCTCCATGCTCAAATAGTCTAGCTGGATAGCCCCCCAACCCTAAATAAAAGGCAGGGTTGATGCCAGCAGGAAGGCATACACGCTAACAGCCCTGTATCGTAATATCCAGGGTACACTGTCCAATAGGAGAGCCACAGATGGCTTTTAAAATTCAAATTGACTGAATGTTTCCTCATGCGTACTAGCCACATTTGAAGGGCTTTATAGTCAGATATGACCAGTGGCTGCTGTACTGCCAATGTAAGGTAGAAAGGGGCCAAGATTAGAAACAACCTATTTCATAAAGCTCATATAGAAAGATTGCCAAAGCAAGATGAACTTCCCAAAACCATATTGCTTTTGTTGTAGTTCTTAATCACTATTAAGCGGAACCTAGTCCCTAGAAATTAAAAAGGAAATGACTCCAAGCCAGATGAACTGAACATCCATGTTTCACTGTGTATAACAGAAATGCAGAGTAATAGGGAAATTGCAAGTCCTTAAGGTTATGTTCCTGGTCACCTTGTAAGTAGCAAGCACGTTAATTTATCAGTTGTAAAGATGTCCTGTTGAAAGGCTAATTCTCTAAGAAACCTGTTAATGTTGGTGCCACTTTTGAGCAACCTGAATAAAATAATATTATTCCTCTGTGGTAACTTTTTAATTTAAAACTTAGAATATAACTTTAGTTGTTTTTTTCTTCCTGCTGTTTTAATACTTTAAACTGCAGGCTTTAAATACATCTATTGGTATGTTATTTAGTTCCTAATTATCTCAATGAAGGTAGAATTAACATGAAAATTAGATATTAGAAATATTAGATATTATTCTGTCTTTATTTGATTAAATGACCCTGGTCACCATGATTCATTTTATCATCATTATTGTCATTTTAGACTTCATGGGGTGTCATTATGAAACCACGAACAATGGTTATGTAGCATCTTTCTCTGGTAATGATTATCTTGTATGTCCATATAATGAACTAATAAAATCCCCCTGAGAACTATTTAATTTTACTTTTCCCTATTCCTCTTAGCTCTGAATAGAAGCATTTTGTAAAACATTGAACTATCAGGACTTTGCTATGCAGTTAGAAGGTGTATTGACCCATGGTCTGAGTTCTCAACTTATTTACTTAGTTCTGTCATTTCAGTAGCTAGCTCGTAACTTCAAGTAGGTCAGTAAACTGAGGCCAGCAAATGAGAAGGTGTGACATACAGATTTGCATGTATATTGTTGTAGTGGAATTCCTATTGGTGGAGTTAAGGATAACTGTTTTAAACTGGATCATCAATAGCACTAACAGAGGTTCAAAATTATTTGGTTCTTACATAAAAATTTATGTATATTCTGATTTTCTTAAATTTTAGTTTTCTTTGAAAGTCTACGTGACTATTTCACACCTTCTGTCCATCTTAAGCACACTTGTCCTTCATTGACCAATTTCATTGTAACTCAGAAAGCTTCTTAGGAAAAAAATTTAAGACGAATAACCATGCAGAATGACTTTTTCCTTTTCCTCTTCGTTGCACATAGCTGATTGTATAGCAAATTATAACAACCAACTGGATAACAAACAAACAAATCTGATGCTCCCTGAGTCAACTGTTTATGGTGATGTGGACCTTAGTAACAAAATCAATGAGATGAAAACCTTCAATAGCCCAAATCTGAAGGACGGGCGTTTTGTCAATCCATCAGGGCAGCCCACTCCCTATGCCACTACGCAGCTCATCCAGGCAAACCTCAGCAACAACATGAACAATGGCGGCGGGGACTCCAGCGAGAAGCACTGGAAGCCTCCAGGACAGCAGAAACAGGAAGTGGCACCAATTCAGTATAACATCATGGAGCAAAACAAGCTCAACAAAGGTGAAGGGTTTTGCATCTTGTTCCCACCCCTTTCTGTAGTGATCCCCTTACCTCCCGGCACTAACTGTGAAAACTGGTCTGTGACTACCAACTCAAATCCTTCCTTTGATTACTGAAATTATTCTTGTTTCTTTGCCTTCAAAATTTCCAGTGTCAAAGAGTTAATTAGCACAACAATCACCTTGGAAAATTGATTTTATAATAATATATAAGTATTTTGAAATGGTTTTGAGATTAATTTAAATTTAATAGTAGGTGAAGGATTGCCTAGGACAAGCAATCTTTTATTCATAAGGCAGATGTACAGCTATCACAATACCTCACATTCTCAATAAATAGACTATTCCATCCTTTCCACTTGAGGATGGAAGATAATTGCTTCTACATGGTCATAGAAACGAATGGCATTTTTATATCAAACTGAAGAAAAATAATTAAATTAAACTTGAACTGGAGAAGTGGTTCAATTTCTTGTGTCACCTCATGTGGTTACTCTGACTGCTAGAATGTATAATTCTAGGATCTAAATTTCTGTGGTTGACCTGATTGAAGTCTGTCAGTATAGAACCTAAAATAAATTGAGTTTAATATTAACTTGAAGGAGCAGAATGGTATTGTATGGCCTGAGGGGAATGTCTCTGTATTGTAATGTGTGGGTTGAAAGAGATAGGTATTTGATTTCTTTGCAGTTCTTCAGGCTAGTGCTGTAATAATGTGATTTGCAAAGTTATACCTCTAGGAAAAGCAAGATTGCTCTAATTTGAATAGATGGAGCAATGTTGTGCAGGTATCCAGGTAAAAGATGCATTTTACTGTAAGTAATTAGAGACAAGGATTTATTTTCTTGAGGCTTACAACTCAAGATTACCAAGGGATAATTTAAGCATTTCATTTGATTAAATCTATGCTGTATGTTTTAATTTTATAATAAAGTCATCTAACCTTTTCCCAAGTTTAAGGAAGCACTTGATTGATATAATAACCCAATTTAATGAAAATCATTAAGATTTCTACATAAGTTGATGACAAAGACTGACAAAGAAGCATAAGAGAGTTTCACTGTGGTGGTTCAAACTCGTATCACATTAATCTTCCACATTGTGTACTTTCACTCTGAGCCTTGGAAAGGTCTGGAGGTGCTATGTACAAACACTTTAGAATGACTGTTCCTTTATACTGCTTGGAAGCAAGTTGAGTATGTGAAAATATAATGAAGACTCTGGAAAGCAAACAGAACGACAGGTTAGCCTTGTCCTATGTCAGTGGCTGGCTTATCTTTTGCATTTTCACTTCTGCCTAAGTAAGTAGAAGCATTCCTGGGCCAGATTAAGATACTGTGTTTTCTTATTGGGGACAAATTTTTACGAGATTCAGTGTTGCTGACAAGTTTCAGTTTTGTTACTATATAAATAGAGTTAAATAGGTAGCTAATCTCCTAAGGATGTTACCATATGAAACTAAGCTGTAAAGCACAGCCTTGGTGTGGTGCTTGAGCAGAGAGACAGCCCAAGAGAAAATAAACCAGTTTAGGTCTAGGTGCAGTTGGCATCTATCTTGGATTACAATACCTTTACTGGACAGAAAGAGAAAGTGTTTACAACGAGAACATTAGACTGGGCATTCAACAGAATCCAAGTCCTGATGCATGGGAAACAAGCACTGTACTATAAACCTGTGCCCATAGTCCTTGTTATTGTATTTAAAAATACATGCCTGTGCCTATGTATGTGTGTACTTGAACTAGAAGTGCTAATCTCGAGAGGAAACCAGGCAAGTAAATAATCCAGCTGCTTTCTTCAGTTACTCAGAAATATAAACCAAACAAACATGAAATAACTAAGAGGAAACAAACTTTTTTTTTTCTATCTGAAATGTGTAGATTATCGGGCAAATGACACAATCCCTCCAACCATCCCGTACAACCAGTCCTATGACCAGAATACAGGAGGATCTTACAACAGCTCAGATCGGGGCAGCAGTACATCTGGTAAGTAAGAAAGACACAGACAATGTCAGCCTTGCTCTCCTTTTTTTGTTTTTTGTTTTTGTTTTTTTTCAATTTTAATTTTTTTTTACAATTTATTCATTACATATCACGATTGAAGCCCCATCCCTCAACAACTTCCTGTTCCACCCTCCCTCCCTCTTCCCCCCATTCCCTTCCACTAGTCCACTGAAAGGGGAGTTCTTCCCCTCTGCCATCTGCCCAGAGCTTATCAAGTCTCATCAGGACTGCCTGGATCCTCTTCCTCTGTGGCCTGGCAAGGCCGCATCGCCAGCAGCAAGTGATCAAAGAGCAGGCAACCGAGTTCATGACAGATGCAGTCCCTGCTCCCCTTACTCAGAAACCTACATGGAGACTGAGCTGCCAATCAGCCACATCTGAGGAGAGGGTCTAGGTCCTCTTCATACATGGTCCTTGGTTGTTGCATCAGTCTCTGTAGGACCACTTGGGCTCAGATTTTTTTTTTTTACACGGAGACCAACAGAGCCTTTTTTAAAATATTTTTTATTTTTTATATTAATTACAGTTTATTTACTTTGTATCCCAGCTGTAGCCCCCTCTCTCATTCCCTCCCAATCCCACTCTCCCTCCCTCATCTCCTTCCTGCCTGACCCTAGCTTTTCCGGTCTCACCAGGACTGGCTGCAATGGCCTAGCTAGGCTGCTCCTCCCACGGGGGGTGGGGAGGTCAAAGAGCCAGCCAAAGAGTTCATGCCAGAGACAGTCCTGTTCTCCTTCCTAGGGAAACCCACTTGGATACTGAGCTGCCATGGGCTACATCCGAGCAGGGGTTCTAGGTTATATCCATGCATGGTTCCTGGTTGGAGAATCAGTCTCAGACAAGCCTCTGTACCCAGATATATTTGGTCCTTTTGGAGCTCCTGTTCTCTTCAGTTCTTATTAACTCTCTCTTCTTTCATATGATTCCCTGCATTCTGCCCAAAGTTTGGCCATGGTTAAGTTCTCAGCATCTGCTTTGATACACTGCTATGTAGAATCTTTCAGAGGCCCTCTATGGTAGGCTCCTATCCTGCTTCTTGTTTTCTCCTACTTCAAATGTCCATCCCATTTATGTAAGAAGTTAAAAAGCAACAACTCAAGTAATCCAACTAAAAAATGGGGAACGGAGCTAGACAGAGAACTCTCTGTAGAGAAATGTAGAATGGCAGAAAAAACACTTAAAGAGATGCTCAACATCCTTAGCCATCAGGGAGATGCAAATCAAAATGACCCTGAGATTTCACCTCACACTCATCAGAATGGCTAAGATCAAACACTCAAGTGCAACACATGCTGGAGAGGTTGTGGAGAAAGGGGAACCCTTCTCCACTGCTGGTGGGAATGTAAACTTGTACAGCCACTTTAGAAATCAATCTGGCACTATCTCAGCCTTGTTCTTAAAAAGAGATGATGAACAGAGGGCTAATGAGCTCTTATACTGAGGTGAAGCATCACTTTGTATCATAGAAGTCCCAGACTCAGGTCTGGTCTGCAATTAAAGCACTGTCTGTGCAATAAACTGCTTCAGATCCTATTTGGCGTCCAATATCAAGCACCCCGTTTCCTTCTTTGTTACTGACAGTTAGCAACCTCAAAAGTATAGAATAATCTTTTCAGGCAGTTAAAGGTCTGCTTCTTCCCTTAGCCAAAATACAGCCCCACACAGTACATATGTAACTAATTTGCTATGTTACCACTTGGTGCACTCACGGAGCCTGAGAAGCAAGAATCTGGGGCTGAGGTACAACAGGAACCTCTCTTAGTTCACAGTCTCTCCGAGATCTCCCAGTTCTTGCTGGAAAGCTCATGAAGTTTCCTCCCAGTCTCAGCCTGTCCTGCATCAGAAACCACAGTGAGGCTTCCCTGTGGGTCGGCCTTGCGGCTGCAGCTGTCTGCCAGCTGTTTTCCTGATAGGCGCTGCAGATGGGAGTTTGCTGGTAGTTAAGTCCTGTTTTTGTAATTAAAGGCGGTTCATTATTAGAACTAACATGTGGCAAGTCACAGCACAATGAGAACGGAGCAATTGATCTTAAGTGGAGCATGCGTCTCCAGGACAGGGAAGAATGGAGCCTCCTGGCAACTGCGGGAGTAGTTGTTGCTAGGGTCTTTGTGCCAAGTGGCTCTGCACAACTTGTGTAATGATGCTCACATTTGCAGTTTACTATCATCCCTTAATAGGGGCATGATGGCTTGGCATTGTCCAGCCTGAGCTTCAGAGGTTCTTATGGGAGCTAAAGCAGCTAAGAAATGATTGTTTACCATTTTAGATCTTTCTCAGGTTGCACTGAATATTCTCCTTTCAAGTGATCTTTTTTTTCTTCTTCAAAGTAACTAAACTCCATGTTTTGAGTAAAATTGCAAGTATGTATTTTTGGTAAAATCATAAACAACATTTAGGTCTTTGATTACTATGTGCCTTTCGTCTTTGAAGTCTTACCTACTTGTAGAGAAAAACCATATATTAATAAAGAAGAACATAATTTTAAGTTCTTGATTTTCAGTTGGCTTCCACATCCCTCACTTTAGATGCCTGATCTTGATACGTCTGTTATCATTGGTTATTCTGTGGGTGATGAAAGGGTACTAGAGATGTGAAGTCTGATGCTAGAGGAGAACAAAGCACATGAATGAAATCCAGGAGAGGACTGCAGTGTTCAGAAGATTAGGGCAGTGCTGTTCTTGGGGGAAAATGTGTATGAGGAAATCAAGAGTAGGGCGCGGGTTAATATTTACTCCATAATGCATGCCCCATAGTTGTCCTAATACAAGGATGGGAGGGTGTAAAAGAGCATACAGACACACAGGCGTGGGAGTGACAGTCACAGTTTATTGTCAACAGCCGGCTTGCCCTTCAGCCCGCACAACAGCAGACCAGCCCCAGAACAACTGGCATGACAAACACTTCCTATGACTGAAAAGTCCCAAGTGACTTAGAAAACATTTTAAAGGCTCACCGAATAAGCTCAAACCTGCTTCATCTCCCATGGGACTTGGTTCAGGGCCATAAAGAAAAATTAAAGGAATTCTGTGATTCTGGGAGCTCATGTAAGAAAAAAAATAATTACAGACTCGGCGTTCCTAATATACATATGGACAAAATATGTTAAGTGGGAGTGTTTCATCTCACAATATCTTTTGACTCAAAACTCTCTAAAAATTAGTGTAGGTACAGCTACCAATGTTTAAAGGATAAATCAGTTCTAAACTCAAAACACCACAGTAAATGAATAATTGGGCTACCCCAACCCACAGAAAATGTTCAGGAACATCATCTTTTTCATTATCTTTTTCATTATCATAATTTTATAGATGCTGGTTAAAAAAAATACTTCTGTTCTTTTTTTTTTTTAAATGCACTTTTCTCCTTCTTTTGTCATTAAATATATTAGCTCTTCTGGCAATTTATTTTAGCCTGCCCTCCCCTCCCCAAGAAAATGAGCAGTTTCATTGTGCCTGAGACATACCAATGGACAAGTACAAATTATATATATTCAGTGATTTAATGCAACAGTAGAACACTAATAGATCGTATCTGTATCGTATTGTATTTTAGGACTTAGCAATTAAACAATAGAAAGGCACTCCAGAAAATATGTCCACAGCTCATTTGTTTCAGATGATAATCCATAATGCAATTAATTGCTGTAGGAAGATCACTATTAATGATATGACTTGTAAAAATTCATTTAAGCTTATGTTGCTTTCTTTGCTATGAAACTGGCAGTATTTGGCCTTTTCTCTTGTATCAAGTTCTGCTTAATCAAGAAACGTACACACACACACACACACAGCACATAAGCATTGCATGACAGTACCAGAAAATATTAAACTCCTTAATAATGGAAAGTAAAATGTAAAGGTCAGAAACAAAAGGCGTGTATTTTATTTCTTTTCTAGGGAGTCAAGGGCACAAGAAAGGGGCCCGTACACCAAAGGCACCCAAGCAGGGTGGCATGAACTGGGCAGACTTGCTTCCCCCTCCCCCGGCGCATCCGCCTCCACACAGCAACAGCGAAGAATACAGCATGTCAGTAGATGAAAGGTAAGGAGGCTGCCATGGTAAGACGCGCAGTATGCATGCTTCAGAGCAGAGTCAGGCAGGGTTCACCCGCATTGTCCAAAGGAGACGCATTACTCATGTTCTCAAACACTAGTTTCTAAATTAAACAGCAGGGCTTAACAGCCCTCCCCAGAGAAATCTCAAATATAAATTAAGGTTTGGGAAACTTCCTTAGCACTTGAAAATTAAATACACACACACACACACACACATATATAGTACCACATATATAAGCTCTCCCTAGGGCTATCTCAAACATGAATTAAGTTTTAGGAATTAATTTTTATCGCACATATTATATGTATATATATATACACATATTATATGTATACGTATACCCGTGTACGTGGGTGTATCTAATTACTCATGTATGTGTGCATGTGTATGCACATATTAAAAATAGTGTATATAATAGCTGGGTGGCGGTGGAGCATGCCTTTAATCGCAGTCCTTGGATTAACAGAATAAAAATAGCGTGCATACATGTAAACTTATTCATAGGATCATGTATATCGTAAATATATTATTTCTTGATTTTTTTTTTTTGAGACAAGGTTTTTCTGTGTAGCCTTGGCTGTCCTGGACTTGCTTTGTAGACCAGGCTGGCCTACCTAGCCTGCCTCTGCCCTGGGTGCTGGGATTGCAGGTGTGTGCCACCACACCTGGCTGATTCATGCTATTTTAAATATAGTCACAGATTCCCCTGAAGTCAGTGTTGTAACATATTATGTAATGTTAATCCCATAAGATGATGATGGAATGGAAGAATCCTGCCCAGTAGTGTTTCCACTGTACTGTTTCTGCTTTCCTTGACTCATAAAACACAACTGCTTTCCAATGTGTATTATTAAGTATTAACAGCCATTGGCTGTAGAGCTGAGAAGTGGACAGTTCCATCAGGTTTCTGAAAGTATACTCTGGGATGCTCATTTGATGATAAGGTTCTCTAACAATGGATTTCTCAGACACATCCTGGCTGTTAAGCGAGGCCTGGAAGTGTCAGAGTGTCCTTGTCACATGTTATATTTCCTAATACAACTACATCGATCTATACAACTCATGGTATATTGGAAAATGCTTTTCCTTAGATATTATTACATTGTGCTAAAAGCAGTTTACCTAGAAATTTAAATTTCGCAGGACTGACCCTCAAAATATTTAATGAGTACAAATAAACCACACGGTAAAATTTAGGAAGTTTGTGTGCCATTTCTATTTCCCAATTCTGTCACTGGACATGGTACACCAGACAAAATAAAAAGCTACATTACCAGCAGCATCAAAGGAGAACTCCCCCAACAGAGAATAAACATCCAGAAAGTATGGTCTACCAGAAAAAAAATATAGTCTTTTCTGTGATTAAGAATGACTGAAATAAGTCTTCATTAATTTATTCTCCACAAAAACAAAGGCTGTAACAGTTTCAACTCTGCCCAAAAATAAGTCCCCATCTTTCTGTTTTCTATTACTATTTAAAATGTGTCTTAAATAAAGTTATCGTATAGGAAATGTGTATAGGGCCATTGTCATTGCCCATAGCTGTAATGCTGATGAATATGAATACCTCGAGGAACGTAGGAAAGGGTTCCTAAGAGCCTCCACCGCAATGGTTGTTGTCCGTGCGTACTCTCATTTTATGGATGCCTTGTTTAAAATACCTTAGTGAACATCTGCTCTTCCTCCCTAATGTGACGCTCACAGCCATTAGCATTAGCTCCTTTCTGAACACATTCGCCTCCCAGGGCATATGGCCCACTGTTGCCATCCTTAGTCTAGTTTAACTTCAGCACTCCTGTTGGGCATCACAAGAAACAGGAAAATTACCAGTGTTATGCAAAAATCAAAAGAAAGGGAAAAAATTTTAAGAAAGAAGCTTGGAACTACAAAAACGGTTAGAAGGGTGATTGTTGAGGGCATAAACATGAACTCCCGAAAGCGGGTCGTCGTATTTGTTTATTTTTACTTTTGTTACCACAGCTGGGAACATACATGGCAGGTGGCTAGATTCTGGCCTCTGTGCAGATGTGAGACTGACCATGAAAATGTCACCAAGACCGATTTTTGCGGTTACATATAAATTTTACCGAGTCAGTAAATCTGCAGGCACAGACTGTGCAAGGAACAGAGATCGGCTCAGCTGTTGTTTTTAAAAGTTTGTTGTCCCAGCTATTTTAATACAATAGTTACTGCTTAGGACACGCATACACACAGAGGCACAAACATATACACACACAATTAACATGGAGTTGATATGAAGAAAGAAAAAAAAAAAGCAAAGCAGAACTGTCAAGCATTACATCCCATAGAGGATGATTTTGAATGAGAAGAATGAAGGCTTTCTGATCAAATGCCAGTTGTTCGTAACCTTGACACATGAGAAGGCTCTGAATAGAGCACAGGGGTTTATGGACACTGGGACCACACAGAGATGTGGACTCCTGGAGAGCTAACAGGAAACACATGGAAGGGAGTGAGGAAGCCGGGAAGGCAGATGTAAACCAGATCGTGCAGATACTTGAGTGTCTTGCCTTGGAATTTTTATTTTTTATTGTTTAAGTAATGAAAGAATCATTTATTGCTTTGGAGTCAGTGAGTGATCTGTGAGTGGTGTGCACTTAATTTTTGCAAATGTGGAGCAACTTGAAGGTACTGAAAAAAGGAATGATTAGAAGCAAGGAGATGAATTGAGAGCGGCATCCACAGTGCCATACACAACAGAAGCTAGAGTTTTCAAAAGAGTATAGAGATGATCTGGGGAGCGGTTTGATGCAGACAAGAGAATATATTAAGAACACTATATAAGATTTCTTCTTTAGATATGAGAACAAATTACTGTGCTTCTTGAGAGCAGAGGAAGCATAGACAAGAGGGACAAAGGATAACTTAGAATTTTAAGAAGTAAGGGAATACACAAGCAACCATGGTATTTGACCATCAACTCTTCTGCTTGAGGGAAGCAAGACAGGTGATAGGAGATGAGTAAAGAGAGGGCTGTAAAAGGCCGCTTTTGGTACATGTGTGTAATCCCAGCAACCAGGAGGCTGGGGCTGACCTGGCCTAGAAAGCAAGATCTGGTGTCTGTCTGAAATAGAAGAAAAAATAAAGAGAGAGAATAAGAAAAAGAAGTCTGCAATTTATACCGTGTAAAATCCATCTCTGGCATTGTAATGGATGAATGGGCGGGGCAAGGGGAGAAAGAGCTCGCCTTCTCTGTCTACCTCTTGATGTCCAGCACAGCTCTCTATCTGGGAAAAGAAGGCATTTGATTTTTCAAGGACATTGTGTTCTAAATTCAAAATGCCAACCAACCAGTCTTGTATTCAACTAAAGAAACAGTACCTTACTGATGTGTCAGAGGAAACATGGGTGGTGATGGACTGAGTAAGTTGAGTTCCAGTTTATTTCCCTTTGAAAGGATTTCACCCAGTTTAGGACATTACCCTGGGCCATTTGCAGTACATTTGCAGTTTGTATTTTTTTTCCTAGCGATCCTATGGAGTGACAGCCAGAATTCCCCAAAGTGCACTGGAGATTCACTAAAACAACTGTGCAAAGCTCTTTCTTACTGTCAGACTTCTCAGTGCCTATACTATGCTATTGTATGTTCTGATAGCTTCTAACAGTGAGTTTTTTCTAACAATAATTCTTTAGTGTGACCCAGAATCTACAGATCTGAAAAGCAGATTGAGTGCCAACGCTGTCTAATACAAATAGCTCACTGCGCGTTCTTGTCACCTATTGTAGCTATGACCAAGAAATGTCATGTCCTGTGCCACCTGCAAGGATGTATTTGCAACAGGATGAGTTAGAAGAAGAGGAAGATGAAAGAGGCCCAACGCCCCCTGTGCGGGGGGCAGCTTCTTCTCCAGCTGCGGTGTCCTACAGTCACCAGTCTACAGCCACCCTCACCCCTTCTCCTCAGGAGGAGCTCCAGCCCATGTTGCAGGACTGCCCGGAGGACATGGGCCACATGCCCCATCAACCAGACAGGAGGTATGTTCTCATTAGCTGCCCTTGGTGGCCAGTCAGACTGTCTGCTCCTCAGAGATAGTTGTTGAATGTTGTGCCGTGAAATAATTTTTGAGTCACATGGGCATTTTCTTGGGCTTCCAGCCCATACAGTTAATGGACATCCTGTTAGCTGAATTGAACCCCATGAACTAGAAATCGGAAAAGAATGATGTGGACGTAAACATTCAACCACTTACGATAGTTATGTCCATGAGCACCTTTCTCATGTGAATTCTATGTTCTTGATGGTAAGTGTTTCATGCTACAGTTTTTCCCATGTGTGGACAAGATGCTTCTTTACTCTGTGAGAGAGAAAAAAAAAAGAGTTTTCTCCTATCATTTTAAGACCAGCAAAATATCATTTATACAGGGTTACTATATTTATTTTATGGTGATCTCAGATATTATAATTTTGGTTTAAGTATCAGGCCAGAATGTCTCTGTCCAAGCTACAAACAACACATGTGTGTATATGAGTGGGCATATCAATGTGTTCAGGCTTTTTGATCTAGTGAGCATCCCCAACAACAGCATCCATTTTATTACATACAATGAATATGCATGTCATTTCTATCGGATAAAACCTATTACTGAGTTGTGTTAGCTCTTCTTGTTCTTGATGATTTTATTCGTGCTATTTTATTGCCCTGACACGCTTTCCTAATTTCTAATATCCTTTGAAACTGAACACTTTATTTTCCTCAGGTTTTCCTTCAGTCTTCTTGAATAAAAAATTCTAGCATATTCTGCTTCAGTTTTACCCTGCAGATTAAAGCACAATTTACAGTGCTTACTAAGTATCTTAGGTTATTACTAAATTTAAATCACACACTGTCTCTAAAGAAGGAAATTTTTAAACCTTCTTTCATGTGATGGAGGTCTCTCTAGGTGCGTGTGGAACTGGGTTGCTGTATATTTAGAATTAATAGTATTAATCCTTGCAACTGTATGAAGATTGAGAACAAATAAGGCATCTCTTTTTACTATTAAGGTCACAGACCATCTCTGCTATTCTTATTAAAAGCAAATGAGGCGCTAATAGACGCTATTAAGCCCTGAAATACCTCAGCATTCTTTCATTCTCTAAAATTACCTAAATTTCCTGTTGCCTAGCTACACCCCTCTGGGTTGCCAGTGGAACCACTGTCTTCCAAACTAGTCCACAGCCTTTTTTATTTCTTTTTGATTGGTGGCGGCGGTGGTTTATTTGTTCACTCGGTGACTTAGTTTTATTTTGTTTGAAGAGACAGGGTGTCTGTGTGTGGTTCAGGCTGGCTTTGAACCTGTGGCAATTCTCCAGCCTTGAGCTTCCAAGATCAGGAGTCACAGGTGTAGGCTGCCACGCCGCACTGTCTAGCCCATTCTCTGTCTTCTGGACATACTCTTCATATTCCTCCCAAAGGAAGGTGCTTTCAGTTTCCTCTGCTCTGGCCTTGCATCCCTGTCCCCAACTTCACTATTAAGTCTCCTGCTTGGAAGGTTTCTTAGCTTTCCATGGTGTCCTGTCTGCTATGTCAGTGCCCCCTCCCCCAGCTGTTTAATGTGGTTTAACGTCTGCCTTCCAGGTTCCTGTTCACACCTCAGGCCCCTGCATCTGGGCTTGCACTTAGTTTGCTCTATTTATCTGCCTCCTACTCCTTATCCCCTTCAAGCTTCCTACAGCGATAGCATTTTGTGAGTTGTTCTGAGAATCAGATACAGAATGTATGTAAAGTACATCATGGGACAGGCTGTTTTCAACAAACGGTATTTTCACTCTATTAATTGATTCGCCCACTACTTATGTTCTGATAGCTGTCGAATTTATTTAGCCATCTCGGACGTTCTTCCTGAGGGTCGTAATATTTTCATGTGTTTCTTGTGTTCAGTGGCTCTCTTACATAGAAGTATCAACCATATTATTTCAGCCAATGTAGAAAAATATAATATCTAAGAGCATATGCAAAAGTAAAGCAAAATCCTTGTGATATCAATGATCCTCCTGTTTAATCCTCTGTTGTCTTCATGCTGTTTCATAATTTCAATTACATGCCAGTTTCCTTTAATGATAACTCTGTATTAGCTCTTGACTTATTTGTGTGTGGTTGCCATCTCTACAGCTGCTTGTAGCTGCTTCCAAACAAAAGCAAGACAAACGAACCAAAAATTTAAAACTCCCCTAATACCTTTGAAATGCTCTCCCATCTCTGTCTCTTCCATTGTCCTCCCACCTTCCAGCACTATCCCACCTTATCCTTCTAGATGTTTCTCTAATTGAGACGGTCCTTACAGACTAGCACAGTATTCGCGGCCCTTAGGTCTCCGCCCGGCTCACCTTTTCCTCAGGCCCTGAAAATACCTTCTTTTCTACTTAATGTATTTGAAAACCCCTGATTTTATCTTCAGGTCACAGCACAGGTCTGGTACCTCCTGTTATTTTACTGCCTGGCAAACGTTTCTCATTCTTACAAGTCTGGCTGCTCCTCCTCCAAGGCTGTCCTCTGGTTGCCTGGGAAAAACAAGCAAGTTTTCCTCCCCAACCCCTTTTTTTTCTTCTTTAATTATTCTTTTATATTTTTGAGATTATAATATAATTACATCTTTTCCCCTTCAGTTATTTCCTTAATATCCTACCATATACCCTTCTTGCTTGCAAATATATGCTTTTTTTCTATTAATTGTTGTTACATGAATATACATATGTATATTTCTAGATACATAAATATACTCTGCTCAGTCTATATAGTATTTTTTGTATTTTATATTTTTGTTGCTGACCATTTGGTATTGGATAAGTTGTTTGTTGCCGTGTTCATCTCTGGGGAAGACTAATTCTGCTCGCAGCATTTCTTAGCTTCTTATATTTCTTGTTTATTTTTTTGTTTTTGTTTTTTGTGCAGGGATGAGGCCTCCTCACCTTTCCCAGTCCCTGTAAGAATGTCTATTGGTGTCCTCCTTGTTCAGCTCCTGTTTAGGCAGTCATGTTTGTGTGACAAGGATTTAGCTTCTGGCATTCCTAAGAAATACAATCTCACAGGAAACTCCCTGGTCCTCTGGTTCCCCTATTCTTTTGGCTTCTTCTGCTATGAGCTTTAGGTGATCCTTTTTTGATCCTTTCTACTAAACTATTCACTTCTCTGCTGTCCTACAAGTTGGATGGCTTGCTGCTTTGGTATTTGTATCTGTTTCCCTATGTGAATTAAAAGCTCTTTGAGAAGAGAATTCCTGAGTCTTTGCATTTTTCCACTACTTGATATAGAGAGCCTTTATAGGGTAATGAGTTTAAATACATGAACTTGCAATCAATTTTATTGTACTCAATGACTTGTGAGCTATTATGTTCATTGCATGAAAGTATATGAACTTGATTTCCTAGACTAGACAGTAGACATTGATAAAGTCAAAGAAAATGTACTTTAAAAATTAAGAGCTCTTCTTGCTTTTTATAACAAACATTCTATGTCTATTATAGAATGTTTTCAAAATAAAGGTCAACTTTTTGGCAATATAGACATTATAAACTACCAATAATCTATGTGGTCAGATAATCATGTTAAGGAGTTCAATAAGGGGAGGAGGTTTGAGAAAAGAAAGGGAAGAGGAAATGACATAGTTGTTTTATAGTCTCAAAAAATAAAATAAGTATACACAAAAAGAGCCTCATAAGCCCTTATCTTTGCATATTTTCACATTGCTTTGAAAGCGCCATTTGTTAGCATTATTTTAGAAGCTGCTATTTCCATTGCAGTGCATTTTCTACACTGATCATCTTTAACATAGATATTTGTGTTAAATGTGTCTTATAATTTATTTAACCTGTTCCTAATGTTGCTGTTTACATTGGGTCTGCCTTTCAGTGAGTGAGTGAACAATGTTGGAGTCTCATCTGGAGTTAAATCTTGAATTGGCCTCTTCTTTTTCCTTTGCCTGTTCAAATGTGTGTCTGTCAAACAGATGTGTTCTGTTTTGCATCACCCTGCTTCTTCGATGCTGTGGCACTCATTAGAGATAGTTATTTCTCTACAGATCTCATTTTATATCCAGGTATACCCATATATCCAAGTACTTGTTTTCCTCAAAGTTTTTATTACCTAAATATCCCTCTGGCATGCTACTGCAAGTCATTCACAAGACACCAGTTATAATGTACTTTCTTCTGGCAGCCATTCTCCCTTGACTATGTTGTAGTCATGTTCCACTAATGATCCTGTTGCTGCTGAGGCATTTTTCCAAAGGTTCAGGCTACTTAAGGACCTTCAGTGGCTTCCCATCTCCCTTAAAATAAAGACAAAATTCCCCAGGAGAGCAGTCAGGACCTTTTGTGACCTGTTCTTTGGTAACTTCATCTTTCCCCATTGTCACCACCTTTGTGGTCATCATTAAGTTTCTTTCACTTCAGGAGTGAACCCTATTCATGTTCCCCCCAAGATTTTTGCATGACTTAAACCATCTTCCTAGAAAGTCATTATGTCCCTGCTTTTGACCTAATACCTATGTGTCTTTTAGATTCAAGCATGAATGTCAGAACCTCTTTCCCTGTTACATCAGTATGGATTTAGATACTCTGGGTCCTACACAAGCTCTCCCTCTGGCCTCTCAGTACCATACTATCTCTGGGACTGTGGTTTATATTCTCTGGGCTTGTGATTTATTGTTTGCGCCTTCCAAGCTTGTTTGGACTACCATGTCTATTTTATTCACCAGAATTCTGAATTTCCTTATGTTTTCCTCTTCTATTCCCTTCTAACAAGTTCTTCTAAATTTAACAACCTCACACAACCATTTTCTACTGTTCAGAAGACAAGAATTCTGAACACATTCATGAGGCTTCTCCATCTCAGTTCAGCCATTGAGGCTGGAAGCTATAGCCCCTGTGAATGTGACTTCCCACTCATATCCAGAATGCTCCAGGGCTCTCTGGCTCCCCTCTGTTGCCACTTAGTCATGGCTTCCAGGATCCCACCCCACAGACCAGGCCTGTCATAACATAGAGTCTCAGGAAA